GTTTCGATTCCCCGGTTGTACATGACAAGGAGTAGGGTTGCCTGTCCAATCTCGTGGGATTTCTCAGAGTCCTCTAGTTTCCTCCCACTGCTAAATAAAGACCCCTATGCGCAAGCGAATTACTAAAATAAAATTGAACCATATGTAAATCCCGAAATGACCTAGTGTGTGTCAAGTGGATGTTAAACCCCATTTCTCTTTCTCTATTAAAGTTGATTGATTTGTGTTATTATTCTATTTTTGGTAAAATGCCATGAGTACATATAAACGTTGTTAATTTATATAGATACCTATTAATATACATTGTTAGGGTTTCACATAAAGACTAAGATGAGATTGTATACCTATATGTAAGTTTTTAGTTTAGACAGTTTCTTGTGAACAAAGCAGTATTGTTCTTGATAGATTTTTTATATACCCTTATTTAAATGTAAACATATACTGAGATCAAAATCTGACCTCTTACATTGTTACAATTTGAAATGGTATTGTCCTCAACTTTGATGTTTTATCGGGTGATTTTTAAAGAGCCATTATCACTTGTAATAAAACAAAAATAATTATTAAAATAAACATAGAATTAAGTGTTAAAACATCCAAACTCTGGATTGTTCGATTTGTGTCTAATTCGATGCACAATTAAATCATACATAACTATCGTATATATTTATTCCTGGAAATAATAATTTTAGATACCTGACAAAATGATTTATAAACTAGTACCTGACATTTTAAACTTTGTGCTCGAAACGTATTATCAAGACTTAAAAACACTGATGAAAAATAAATCGGTGCCGGACAAAATGACAGACAATAGAGGGATTGTGCCTGAAAATATCTGTGACAGATACCCTTTTTCAAGAAACATGTATATTCAAATCAGTGGCAGACTGGCCAGGTTATCAGCTTGCCCAATGACAAGTGGGCCCCTGAGGAAGTGGCCCCCCTTAAATATTAGACAATATATTTAAAATATAAATTATCAAAAAAATATATAAATATTAAAAAAAAAAATATTAGCATGAAATTCAAATTACATCTTTTTGTTTCCACTTACATATTTTTTGAAAATTTGATTTATTCATTTTAAAAATTAAATAATAGAATTGTTTTGGTGGGTGGACCCCCTTTGTCTCCTGGCAACCAGTATTTTCATCCCCAATCCTCAACTAATTCAGATCACCTCAAATAAGAAATTATTACTTTTACCCATTGACAAAGATCTCTAAAGAGTCTTATTAATAAATGGGACTAATTCATTAAGTAACTTAACCAATCATGTCAAATATTTTTCAGTTTATAATCGTCAGAATTTTGTATATGTTTTTGAAATTAATAATTCTGATATAGAAAAATGAGACTGACTTCATCATAGTCTATGAATTTTGTGTGTTTATGATTTGCTTCAAGGTAGTTAGAATCAGATGCCTAGTAATTAATTAATGATAAAATAATTATCCTGTGGGGCCTGGGTATGGGAGATTTCTTTGTTTTTCTACTGATTGAATACAGTGAGATCTATTAAGGCCACACCAATTTGATTTTCTATTCTTCAGTTTCTTGATAAATAAATAGCCACTTAAATCACACGAAAGATGTTTTGTTTAAAATTTCAAAACATAAAAAATAGGGAACTAAAAGCTTTAAAGGAGCTAAATTTGGAACTGAAAACTTTTGAACAGTACGACCAAGGACCTTAGGTTTTTAAATTAGAAAGAAGAAATAAGAAAGACAATTTTGACAGGTGTGGCCTAATATAAGTAAACATGATGAGCTAGTGATTATAATCATACAATACTATATATAAATAGAGTAAGCTATTAATCAGGTTGATCATATATTTTATTAGCACAATAGAGGAAAAATTAATTCATATATCTGAAATTAATATGGGTTGTCTATCCCATTAAGTTATATTTATAGCACGGCTTTCATGGGTTAACAGGTTTAACCAGAGGCTGAAGGCCGAGGGGTTAAACCTGTTAACGAATGAAGCGTGCTATAAATGACTTGTAACATTGACAACTGCTCAACATGCTTATTGTTATTGCACAGAAAACCCACCCACTTCTCTATATGATTTCTACCAAAGTGTGCAATAACATTGAACATGTCTAGTTATTGCACGGTTAAGCTCCACCCAATCTACTAGAGGGAAAACAATCTGCTTACGAGCGGACGTAAAATACAACTAACTAACAACAACAGCTTATTCAACAAAAAGAACAAAGGAAGATTTCCCATCCATGTTACAATTTTGATTATAGCTTCGAGAGTTATTTTCCTTTGCTACAAGATCTTGTCAGCAACATAGAAGCTGCAATTTTTAACCTTTCTGAAATAAATATTGTGAATAGTAACTTCCAGAATTATTCCCTTGTGTTACAAAATCTTGTTAGGACCTTATTAGCGGCTATAATTACAATATGATCTGATATTTTAAAAATAATTAGGATTTGTTTTGTTCATATCCGTTGGATGACATAGCTGTTTGTTTTATCATATTAATAATGTTTCATTGCCTGGTAACCATTTTTTGCGTAAACATATGTGGTTTTATTGAAACAGAAAAAGTATGTTTCTAGGTTGGATTTTTAGTTGTAATAAGATACTTGTTTCGAACAGACGGGTTGGATGGCCGAAATGGTTAGTGCGTGCACGCGTGGTTTCGATTCCCCAGTTGTACATGACAAGAAGTAGGGTTGCCTGTCCAACCTCGTGGGTTTTCTCTGGGTCCTCCGGTTTCCTCCCACTACTAAAGACCCCTATGAGCAAGCGCATTATTGAAGTAAAATTGAACCATATGTTAGTCCCGAAATGACCTAGTTTGTATCGAGTGGATGTTAAACCCCATTTCTTGCTTTCTCTCTTATTTTGATCTTAATCATATTGTATTTATTTATAATAAAACGTTAAAATCTTAAGTAGTAACTGTTTTTGTAAACAGGACCCTACCCTTGAATTAAAAATAAAGTTGTGAAAGGTTATTTTCTTATCTTGCAAAAAGTGATAAGAGAGCAGTTTTAGCATGTAAGATATCAATAAGGATGTATCATATCACACTATCTTATCATATTTTTTCTTGCACATATGCATTGATCACATACCTATACTGAAGAAAGAGAGTTGGCCTACAACTAAAACAAGCCCTTTCCCTTATTTAAGTTGTCTGGTCATATGGTAGTCATACATAACATACAAACACATGCAAAATATTATACAAAAACTTCATGTATTAATAATTTAAGCTTCTCTTTCAATATAGTTAAGTTCAGGTGACCGTAAAACAATGCACATGCAGGCTGATAGAAGTCACAGAAGGGCTAATTTTATCTGATTTCTGCTCAATTTTGATATATTTTATAAGTAAAAAGTATTTATTCTTCATAATGTGTTCTTTAAATGTTTTAGATTCTTTTTAGTACATATTTATAAATTCAGTTGAAGTTCCGATATCAGAATCTACATTTAAGGCAAGGTTTGATATTTTTAGAAAAAATTTGGTGGAAAGGTTTTTAATTATGTAGTCCATTGGGCAGAGTACAGTAGTTACAAGTTTTAGCCTTGATCTCAGCTTTAATTTGTACAAGAAAACTATATTTTATCATTTCTAGAAATAGTTTAGAATTTTTTTAATTTTTGAATGATAGAATTGTTAAAACTGTCTAGTTAGATCTGTGGTATACAGTATAAACATATATCTGAATTGTATGGACAAAAGAGTTGTAAAGCCAAATCGATCGTTGCATATAACTACATTGATCAATATGAATACCTTTCTTCTTTGGTTTTTTTTAGTTTTAAAACTGATAAGAGTCTAGTATATTATCATTCTGTTCATTGCTTGTATATTTCTTTTCTTACACTATGTTGCTAATCCACTTTCTTTCTCTACAGTTATTTATTTTTTAATTTATATCACTTTGTGTCATGGTTTTTTTTTGTTCATATGGGGTGGGAGGCAGTTTGGATTTCTTTTGTTCATAATGTATTGTCTATTTCATTGTAAATTTTCTTATCTGTTTATCGAGAGAATGTCCTTACTCCTTGCGAAAACCAGGAATAATCATAACCCTTCCTCTTCCCAGTATAGTGGTGTGTTTGTGAGGAGTGCACAGGTCTCTCTTTAGCCATTTAACTATGGAATCAGTTTAAGAGCCATATGTAGTTTTATGCTTTTAGCTAATGTTGTACTTTATTGAAATATTGAAATATTAAACATACATTATGCCAGAGCTAAATCTGCCTATTGCAGTTCTTTCTTTAGGCCTGAAATATTATATAAACTATAATTAGACATTTATTAACAAAACAAGACCATAATCAACTCTTGATGGCATCATAGATACTCAAGATTTTAACTAGATTCGAATAAACCAGTGCCCTGGTTATCACAATCCACACACCGTGTCAAAACTACAAACAGTGAAAACTGAAGTAATTTGAATGAAATTTTCATTTTACACTATCTTTTTTGAGCTATTACAGCAAGAATGGTCAGCTCTTTATCTAAATCTTACATAATGTATCTTTAAGATTGATAAATTCCAAATAGCTTAGAGTATGAGTCACCAAAAAAGTACAGTCAGTGCAGTCGGGCTCAAAATTATGCATCAGCTACCAAATGAATTATTGAGGTAGACAAACAATGCCAATATGGAAGGGAAAAATCCCAAATACTTCATTTATGTACGAATATATCTGTGTATACGTTTGATTGGATATCACAATACGCACCAAAGGTTCACATTGTTTCTATGTATGGAGGTTTTAAGACATTATGATTAAATTAGGAGATATTATAAAGGTCAGTTAGGTAATTTGCAGACACTTGATGAAAATATGAGGAAATAGTCATATCTTTGCTAATTTATATATATTCACCACAATAATATATCGAAGACATAGGTCCATGTAAATGATGTAATTATTATCACTTTCATAAGTTATCACAGATTCACAATACTTTGTACGTTCTTGCAAAATTCTTAACAAATAACATGAATTCCCATGCGTATTACTCAGTTTTACTCAGTCTGACTTGCCATCAGAATTCTGCATAATCTTCCCCCAAAGTCCAGGAAATGGCATTTCAAGGACTCGAGATTCACAAATTTTTTCACCCCTAGAAAGCTTGCACATACAGTGCCAGGCTCGTGGCTCGTATTAGGGACCTGTGCATTAGTTGGTCTCATTATTGATAAACACCCCGCAAACAATATCGATTTGTGCGCCCCTGCATACAATCCTAAACATTAGAGTTATTCCTCCTTTAACTTTACATCGCAACATAAGTTACTGTGCATCTCCTCACAAAGGTGTCGATGGTCATATATTTGTTGCCTCACAGAGTGGGTATTCTCTTATTGTTGCATGCACAATTCAAAACTCAATAATTTTGTCTTGAAACAACAGTTCCATAACCACATTTGTCCCATAGTTGAATATGAGTTATCCCCCTTGATGTGCTTTTGTTTCCCCAAATCATAATCTTGACAAATCTGTGATTTCAGGAGTTCCACCACATTATCCTCATCTGCAGCAGACACAGCACTTGATGAAACTAATGATGATCAATTTAATGTTGTATTAAGGTATGGTTGTATTGAAATATTTTAAAATTCTTAACACTTATTTTTTAAATAATAAGATTTTTTCATGTGGGAAATTTTGTAAAAACTGATTAAAATGCTCAATAGTTCAAAGTTTTTGAAATTATCTTAAAGGAGAACCCTATCAAAATTTAAAGTCAAGTATATGATTTCATAATATTATTGCCTTTTTTTTATTTTTAAAACGTTGAAGTATTGTTCAATTTGTCTTCGGGGAGAACCCAATCAAAATTGAGAATTATAGAAAGTGAACACTGCACAATTGATTGTGCTGAAAAATATTTTCTATATTACAGCATACCATAATAAGATGGTCTTGCCTCTCTTAAAATGGTGGTGGTGGACCTGGCAATGCTATATTTTTCAAATGTACATAAAATTCTAATATTCTTGAATGGACACAATCTCTATGAAACTGATTGAAAATTATCTTTATTTATTGAACTCTTTTACATGAATGATACATATCGAAGATTTAATAGAGTTGTATGGTAAAATATCTTATATATGTGTGTGCAAGCAGGGCTGTCTTAACCATATTATACCTACACAACCACTCACAGGAATAAAAATGTAAATGGGCAATAAAATTAAACATATATTTATTGTATTGGTGCTCCCAACAACATCAATTTTTTGTCCCCCGCCTTTCGAAGAAAGCAGGGGACTATTAAAATGGGTTCGTCTGTCTGTCTGTCTGTCTGTCTCTGTCTGTCTGTCTGTCTGTCTGTCTGTCTGTCCGTCTGTCTGTCCGTCACACTTTTTGGGACACAATAACTCTCTTCCTAATTGAGCTAGAATGTTCAAACTTGGTGTATGTGTTTATTAGGTCAATGCCTTGATGGAGTTCGAAGATGAGCATTTTCCGCTTAGGGTAAGCAGAGATAAGCAATTTGATTGGTTGATGCTTTGGGACACGATAACTCTCTTCCTAATTGGGCTAGAATGTTCAAACTTGGTGTATGTGTTGATTAGGTCAATGCCTTGATGGAGTTCGAAGATGAGCATTTTCCGCTTAGGGTAAGCAGAGATAAGCAATTTGATTGGTTGATGCTTTGGGACACGATAACTTTTAATTGAGCTAGAATGTTCAAACTTTGTGTATGTGTTTATTAGGTCAATGCCTTGATGGAGTTCGAAGATGAGCATTTTCCGCTTAGGGTAAGCAGAGATAAGCAATTTGATTGGTTGATACTTTGGGGCACGATAACTCTCTTCCTAATTGAGCTAGAATGTTCAAACTTTGTGTATGTGTTGATTAGGTCAATGCCTTGATGGAGTTCGAAGATGAGCATTTTCCGCTTAGGGTAAGCAGAGATAAGCAATTTGATTGGTTGATGCTTTGGGACACGATAACTTTAGTTCTAATTAAGTGAGATTGATGAAACTTGGTGTATAGTTTCATTACAGTAATACCTTGACTAAGTTTGATAATGAGCATTTTCTGCTCAGGGTAAGCAGAGCGATTGATTGTTCAATACTTTGTAAAAGATAATTTGTGATAAATTTATATGTGTCCTCTAATTATTTTCCTATTTCGGCGGGGGACATCAGCCTCACTGTTGGCTTGTACACATTAAAAAACACCAAGCCACAACATGCATAGATTATGCTTGTGGGTGGGACCCACAGGCTACTACCCAGCATTCCTATGCAATTCGTTAAGCTGACCCGGTGTTCTAGTCTTAACTGCAGTTTGTGCAACAAGGTCCTGAAAGAATCTAATGTGCATTGTGCCATTAGCCTTAATTATTATGCTCTAGCCTATTCTTTATAAATTATTTTCTGAATGCATGTAATTATATATAAAAATATATTCTTTGTAGAATTCGACCATTAAATGGTCTTGAGTTAAATAGAAAAGATACATTTACAGTTGACCTACCAGGTGAAGGTCATGTTGCGGTAAGTATTATTGTCTGACCAACCATCTTAATTTGGTACATTTATGTCAGTCAAATATTTTGAAATGTGAGAAATTATCAATTAAATGAGAAGTAAAATTATGACATGCATATTTTGTGCACGAAAAGCAGTGAGTAGAAGATCTAATTAGAATCTGAATTTATCGGTCACAATTGTAGACTGTCCCCAAATGGAGAGAGAGAGAGAAATGGGATTTAACGTCCACTCGACACAAACTAGATAATTTCGGGACTAACATATGGTTTAATTTTATTTCAATAATTCGCTTGCACGTAGGGGTCTTTAGCAGTGGGAGGAAACAGGAGGACCCGGTGAAAACCCACTAGGTTGGACAGGCGACCCTAATCCTTGTCACGTACAACTGGGGATTCGAAACCACGCCAGTTGACTCAATGACGGGCCTTATGATACAGCACGCACGTGCTAACCATTCGGCCATCCACCCCCCCGTCACCAAATGGTATAATTTTAAGCCAATTCAAGCTTTACATCCCTCAGTTATACCATTCAAATGAAGTAAAGGTTTCTATGTAGTGCAGATTGATTGGGGTACGTGCCAAGGATTAGGGTCGCCTGTCCAACTTCGTAGGTTTTCTCCGGGTCCTCCAGTTTCCTCCCACTGCTAAAGACCCCTGCGCACAAGCGAATTATTGAAATAAAATTTGAACCATGTGTTAGTCCCAAAATGACCTAGTTTGTGTCGAGTGGACGTTAAACCTCATTTCTCTCTCTCTCTTTGATGGGGTAGAAAAGCAGGACATCGAATCCAATTTCATTTCTTAGAGGTCAGTACAGAAATACATGGTTGTCTCCCTTGATGTGCTTTATTTTGATTTTTCTGTAATTTCTATAATATTCACAGATACCTATTGTTGATTTTACAGATTGAAACAAATGGATCAACAAGAAATTTTACATTTAATGCTGTTTTTGAACCAGATGCATCTCAGGAAGAATTATTCGAAAATTGTGGAATAACAAGATTAGTTGATATGGCTTTAAGTGGGTAAATGTCACATTCATATTTATTGCAAAAATCATTGCTGGAACCTGAAAATAGGTTCCCAAATGCTCCTTTGTCTACTGAATTGTTGTTTTGATGTATTTTTTGTACATGCTCACATACAAAATGAAAAATAATCATTGCAGCTCTATGATAAATCATTTTTTTTTATGTTTGTTCGTTAATTATGCAATTTGATTCTATAATTTTCCTGTTTATCAGAAGGTAACCACGGTGGCTAGGCGGTTAAGACGCTGGCTCGCTAGCCTGGAGGTCGGGTGTTCAATCCCTGCATTGGCCGAGAAAGTTCATCCTGATTTCCCGACGTGGTTTCCCCTTGTCAGTGGTGCAGAACGAAGGGCCTGACAAGGACAGCTGTCTAGTCCTTCGGATGAGATGAAAAACCGAGGTCCCGTGTATACATTAGAATGCACGTAAAAGATCCCTTGGCAGTTGGAATTCGATATAAGAGTAGGCGATAGTGCTGCTGCCTGGGCAAAATCTCCCTCATAGCACACTGTATGGCATATGCCCGTCTTCATTAGCCCAGTATAGGAGCAGAACAGTAGGACGTTTATCAGAAATATCATACTTACAGATAAAGATAAGTTAATGTACAGATGACCTAAGTATACCCGATGGAACGTATTCAAGAGTCTTTATTCGCCAGGACTTTCTTTTTACAAATTGGCAAGAGTTCATCTATATTTGTTTTCTTTTTAAGGTATGCATGTACAGCATTAGCATTTGGTCAGACAGGGTCTGGTAAAACACACACAATGACTGGTCCCCCAAGTCAGGTAATTAAGAGAAATTTTGTATTAGCACGATTAAGTGTAATTGTCTTAGAGAGTATATGATACTGCACAAACTTTTTAATAGCAATAGTGTGATGTGATTTACCACTAATTACATTGTTTACAAGATTTATAAATCTCCTGGTAACTAATTAATAAACAATTACATTGCACAATTACAACCCAGAGTTCTGGCGATTTGTCAATAAGCTCTATATTTCAACATGTTTTTGCGTTACACAAATGTGAATATGATATAAACATTGTGATTTAATTGACATGCTATTTACAGCCATCGACACCAGTATTCAATGGGGAGGTAACTATGTATTGTCAAAATTTATCTCCGATTTTCCCTTCCTTGCCTTTTCCATTCATATTGATATTGTAATAAAATGTAAAATTATTGTGCCATGAAATTATAGCCAGGTGAAGTGAAATATTTTATCAAATTAATGGGTTTTATTGTCTGCATCAAGAAATTCATTTCAACCAAAAAATAATTTCATCTATACATTAATTTCATGTTTTACTGCGTCTCCCATTGCTTAAATGTACTTCCTTTCCTGTTAATTACTAACCAAGATCTTTTCAAAGAATATGTAACACTTCAAATATTGCATACATGTTTGCATACATGAAAAGCTTGATTGGATTTAGACAATATGGATGTTGCACTTTAAAAAAATGTGCTGTGGTATTTGGAAGTTAATTTATTAAAGAATGTTTTATATTGTGAATTTGTGATGATTCTGGCATATTACACTGTGTTTATATATTAATACATTTAACTGTTTCTGCATAGTATTATTTAACCCCTGCACATATAATCTAATATGTTCACTGAATTTGATAATGTAAATTTTCTTAATATTCTTGTTCATCTAATTTTCAGAAGTTATCTTGATCTTAATTTCCATTTTTGTGATTAATTATTTATTTTGTTTACAAAATTTTAATGTATTTATATCTTGAGTTGCAATCAAAAGGAATTTCCAAAAATTATTATTTTTAAAATTCTAGTTTCAGGAAGGGAAATCACCTGATCTAGATATGATTGGTTTAATACAAAGGTCATTTAAATACCTGTTTCAACAGATGAAAGATGTTGGGGAAAATAAAGTTGTTAGAGCTTCGTATTTAGAAATTTATAATGAACAGGTAAAATCAATGTATACTTTGTTTACTGCATGTGCTCTGATAAAGATCAACATTTGTTTTGTGAAATATATCCCAGTTGGTGCTGACATGCCATTAAGTCCATTTAATTCATCTTTTACTAGGCGTTTTTACGCATTTCCTTTCCAAACACATTTACGGCAAAAATTAGCCTAATAGGTTTCACCACGACGATTTGCCAAATCGATTATGCAAATCTTCCAACTTGCTCGCCTGCCGGATTGACGAATCGATTTCCAAGATGGCGTCCCCTACAAGGGACAGGACGTGCTCAACGTTAGATCATTTTCTTTTGAATTTCACGTTAAAATATCAATATTATGGACATTCCTAATAAAAGTATGGGGCATTTGGGGACAGTCAACTGGTACAACTTTTCGTTTTTATTTTTGGGCGGTGTCGCCAAGTACATAATAAAGAAAAGTGAATTTTTTTAACATTTTTCCTCAATTCTTCAGTCTTCAGCCATCTTGCGAGGCAACTCATCGCGTTCACGAGAACCGATTCGAATACCAACTCGAGACCTATGTCTTTGTACAAAACGAGATAGGTATTCGAAACCGATTTGTTTTCTCGTAAAAACGCCTACTGTTATGGCCACTGTAGATAGCTTGTGGAGACAAGTACTTTCAAATGAGTTTTCAGAATTAGTTCTTGTTTGTCAAGATTCTGTAGGACTTGCAGGAATATTTGTCGAGAAAAAAAATGCATTGTCAATATTTTGTCTTAAAATGACCAAATTAAAGTTCTGATGACATTTAAAGCAATTGACCTTCATTTGAGGTATTTTGATTCCCTTGCAAACTACAGTATTCGGAATGTTGAATCTCTAAAAAGAATATTAGTCCAAAAACGATTTAAGTATTTACAAAGATATGGTGGGTTGAAAACATTGCAACATTTATCATTCTCTCCAGTGGATATAAACAAGCTAGTAACATATAGAAGCGTAGGATAAAATATTTCGATGGGTCACTTTTTATCTACTGCTGCTATTTTGGTTTTATATTCATAATTAAATGTTAGATAATCCACTAGAATACATTTTAACATGGAATAAGGCATGAAAATTATATATTCTCCAAAAATTGCAGCTTTAATAAACGCTGATCCATTCGTAGTACTATATTGTCCGAAAATTGCAGCTTTAATAAACTCTTTTCTATTCGTAGTACCGGTACTATAAATTTTTTTACAACAAACAGGTTTAGAGTATAAATTCTTTACATCGATATTTTGATAAAAACTTTTAACAGAGACATTTTTATCTAAGAAAGGTCAAGCAGTGGAGTCAGTGAGACTGAATGAGAAAGTTAATCTCTAATAAAATAGTTTTGTTGCCATTATACATGTCACATGGATTAACATAAATTTTAATTCATTCATCCATTCATTGATTTGTAGGTTATTGATTTATTGAATCCTGCACATAAAAGATATTTAGCTGTTCGCTGGTCTAAGAATAAAGGTTTTTATGTAGAGAATTTGTTTACTATAGAATGTAACTCAATGGATGATCTCTCAGCAGTATTAGAGGAAGGTGAGTCGAGGTCTTATATTTTTAAATACTGAATTGAATATTCAATACGTAGTATAAGTTTTATTTATTAAATTAAGAATTATTTACTCCATAATTTTAGATTAAAAGTTTTGAATAAATTTGTTATTAAGTTTATATATAGTATCCGTAATTCTAGATTGGGTTTTGAATAAATTAATTTATAAATAGTCCATAATCTTAGATTCAAAGTTTTGAATAAATTTATTATATTAAGTATATATATATATAGTCCATAATTTTAGATTACTTTACTCTTGATTTTGAATGAATTTACTTGTTAAGTTTTAGACTCTTCCCCCACCCCCAGCCATACAACTCCCCCTCACCACCTCTTTGTGTCAGTGCAACAGATTTTTAGTAAATATATAACCTTTTTTATTGTTTAGTTTACTCATCAAATTTATTAATTTAGTTTAATTTACTCATTAAGTTTAGATGATATACTAGTATCTCATTGATTTTATTTAAATTAATTTAATTTAAGCATTAATTTTAGAAAATACAATTGTATTTTATCAGTTTTATTTAAATTAATTTAATTTAATTAACTCATTAAGTTTGGAAAATATACTTGTATTTTATGAATTAATTTAATTTAATTTATTTTACTCATTAAGTTGAGATAATATACATGTATCTTATTAATCCAATTTAGTTTAATTTGCTCATTAATCTTAGATAATATACTTGAATCTTATTCATTTTATTTTTTAACTTTAAATTTATTTAATTCATTGACTGAAAGGAAATTTGGTTTTGAATTCACACAAGTTTTAATTGAAAATTGAATTTTAATGGCCTGAGTTGAAATTGAACATTGTTAAATCATTATATAAAATTCAAATTAATTAATAAATTTTAACTATTGTTATGAAAATGTAAAGTGATAAGATAAAGTTGATCATACATCTATTGGAAGAGTTGGATTGCCTTTTTATTAATTTCTTGATATGAATAGCTATCAAGATAATATAGCACCTATGCATAGCTATTTGTATTCTTATCATTATGGGAGGGCTAAATAGGACTTATATTTACACCACTCTTGTATTGAAAATAACACAATGATATTCTTTGTATAGAGCAAGTATTCATTGAGAGGAACATAGAAATAAACTGAACAAGTTTTGACTATGTTGTCACAACCAAAGCTGAAAGCTTTTACTTGGGTCTCCCAGTATGTGACAATTACACTTGTTTCTGGTGTCACAAGATTCTTGTTGGATGTTTTTCATTCTTTTTATTTCTATGTGTGAAGAAAGATACATGTTTTCTCGTAGAAATTGTGGATTATATTTTGGAGAATTATTGTATGTGAGGTTGTGAACTGTGGTATATTTCATTAATGGAGTAATTTATTGATTCAAGGGTGCTTGGTTACGGCCATTCACACAAAAGACGTAACATACAGGTCATGTCTTATAAGTTAATATCACCAATGATTACTTTACTGTGTTGTTTCATTCTCATTTCTCATTGGTTCCTGTGAAAGGGTCTATTGTTTGATAATTGAGTGTCTCGTTGTGTTTTGTCGTAAATCTGGAAGTAATAAAATCACCCGTAGACAATTTAATATTGATTTCTAGATGGATATTTCTGGATGATGTAAACATTATTGATACATTTTTTAATTAAATCTTCAATAAAAAGGATTTTTAATAAATAAATAATGAAAAACATTTCTAATATGAAGCTTGTCAATGGTTTTGAATACTGACGTAAAAATAACAATGACGAAAATGTATGAAGATTGATGATATGATTAATTTGATTATCAACTTTTAGAAGGTTTACGGTAAAACGTGAGGCCATGCCTCAGATAAAGAATACAAAATTATCACAGGGTAAATCCGTTCATTGGGACGCCAATGTTGATCTAAGATCCCCAGACACCAAGAAACGGTCTAAAGAGGAGACAGGTTTTAGTAATGATTTTGATTTCGATGATGGAATAAGTGTTGTAGGATTCAAAAAACAAATTAAAACTTCCACGGATAAGAAAGTGGATAGAAGAAATCTCTCTAAGAAGAATAAAATTATTCAGAAGAATAAGATTGTTCAGAAGAAGAAAATACCAATACAGTGGCAAGCAAAACCTAAGGAGACTACGCCACCTGAGGATAATTCGTTTGGTAAAAGGGATGTAAATAAGGCTTCCCCCAGACTAGCTCCTGTTGTGGTGCCAACAGTTGATGACGATTCAGATATCTCACTTACTGAAGATTTGGAAAATCTTTTAAACAGTTCACCACGAAATAAACATGTCAATAAGCGGATTTTGAAGGATGTAGAAAAATTGAACTCTCTAAGTTTTTCAAACAATGCTAAAGATTTGCGCTCAAGTCGTTCCTTAGGAGTAAGTCCGCAACGATCTCCACGTAATTTGAAATCAAGTTTTTCTACTAATGATTTACAACTAGGATTACATTCTCGGCGATCCTTAAGATCAAGTAAATCATCATTTCGCGACAAGAAAGATTATCCAGACTCCTGGGAGTTTGAGTTAGATGATCCTCCTTCATGGAGGCGTGAAGTTTATGAACGTGATCGGTATACTTTTATCACATCTGAGTTTCCAGATGAAGATGAAATAGTTAAAAGTTCTCGAAGACAGATTCCATCTCAGAATAAATCAGTCCATAAATCAGTTAATCCACATAAATATAGAAATATCTATGATGATGATGATCTAGATAGTCAAAGTTTGGACAGTATTCCATCCCCAAATGATATTTTATTTCAAAGAGACAATTTTTTGTTTTCTCCTGATCAAGACGAACCCAAAGATTCAAAATTTAGACGTGAACGTACTGAGGATACACCTCGAACTAAAGCCTATAAATTGACAACAAGAAGTACACCTGTCAGCCGAGCAGATGAAAAAATAACTAGTGATAAACCAAAAATTAGTACTTCTCCAACACAACCGCCTATTCAAAAACCTCCCAAAAAAATCGTAGAACAATTGAAAACTACATCAGTGAGCAGTGCACTAAAAGTTGGAGATTCACCCACAGATCATAAAAAACCTGCACCATTTGTAGTTGCACAAAGGTCTAAAGGAAATCAAAGACTTAAAGAAATAAAACTATTGAATGGATATGGTTCAGTAGATCTTAAATCTCCCCCAAATATTCTTGAATCTCCTACGGACGAAAAAAACCCTTCTGAAACCATAGTTAAAAAGCCAGCAGAAAAACCCAATAAACAAGACAGAAAAAGTCCTTCAAAACCAACTTATCCCCCGGTTCCTCGTTTCCGACCACAGTCTCAAACACCAAATCCAAGTCCAAGAAAAGCAAGTCCAATAAAAGAAGCTGCAAAACCGGCAAAAAATCTCACAAATGAATTGAAATCCCCGACACTCTCTCAACCAGCAAAATCAATAGTACAACCTGGAAAGCCGTCATCAAGTCCAAACAGTTCTCAAGTTTTATCTCAGATACCAAATAAAACTAAAGAGAGTGAAAATAATTTGATTTCTACAGGGAACACAATAGGAGCATCTGGCGAATTAAAGTCAAATCAGCCACCACCTATCAGTTCTACACACAGTCCTAGTGCAAATCATCCACTGCCTGTCAGTTCTACACACAGTCCTGGTGCAAATCATCCACCATCTTTTGGTCCTGGTGCAAATCATCCACCAACTATCGGTTCTACACACAGTCCTGGTGCCAGTCCAAGGTCCAAAGTAAAGTCACAATCTCCTAGAAAAGGTAAAAGTCCAAAAACAGCTAGTCCAGAGAAACTGAAAGTGGAGACTCCATATGTTGATGATGATAGTCCTTGGGGAACTCCAAGAGTCAGAGTAGTTCCTGAAGTCAGTAAAACTCCAACATTAATTTCACAAACACCTCATTCATCACAGCAATTTGTCACTGAAGGACATGGAGATAAAGTTCAAGTGATTCATTCACTACGGAGATTAGCATTTAACAAATTAAGGTCCGATTTTGATGAAAAAAAGATTACACCAAGAGTGGTTCCTTCAGGGTACACAGTTCAGAAAGTTCCGGAACAAAGCAACCTCCATTACACTAAGAAAGGAGAACAGCATCAAAATTTACATAAAGCAGTACATCAGGGCCAGCCTCCACAATCTCAGTACCAAAATCCAGTTCAAGGCCAACAACCACCTCTACATCCTTCCCAATTTAATGATACTCAACACCAAGCTCCAGAAGGACAACCAATTTTGGGGCATCAGGAACAATTTAACACACACCACGAAAGTCAGACTGGTCAAATATATCCTGAAACTGCTCAGAATCAGTCTTTTGTATTTCAAGGCCAGCAGTTTGATCTTCCTCATATTCTTGGATTTCCTTATCCTGATGTAGCTTTAGCAGGGCATCCATCGCAAGTAGCCGCTCCCAGAAGGTCATCTTTGCCGTTTCCTGCAGAGGACCCTTCTGCACCACATAGTCTTTTCCAGAGAGTAATTATTTTGGGCCATTCTGATCAAGGTGCCGAAACACTACTGCATGGTGTGCCCCCACAAGTTTTAGGACACTTTGGAAGCCAGGGTCCAGTGATTTCTGAAGTGCAACCAACTGATGAAGAAAAGCAACAGAAGGAAAAATCATCAAGTGCATCTAGTTCATCTTCTTCCTCATCTTCCTCGTCATCGTCATCATCGTCTTCATCATCAGGTGATTCTGATTCTGATGTTCCATCAGAGGATCCAGTTCAAAACTTAATCAATAGAACACAGGGGACACCCAGTGAGTCTGAACCAAGTCCAACGCAATTTCTAAAAAACATTAAAAAAATCGGACAGACCCGAAGAGAGAGTAATCACGGAATTACAGAACTAACAACTGGAGAAGCTGTGATGGAACAGGAGATACTTGTTAGTGATCGGCGCAGGAAATCTGGGACTGTTCATCACCTTCCTGCATATTATAATCCATCTGGAACTCAGTATGTTATGAGAAGTAAGAGTACATCACAAGATACTTCGCGAGAAACTTCTGCTGAGACTATAAAATCAAATAATTCTAAACCTGGTGTCAGTAAAGTTCAGAAACTGGAGACAATAGAATCTGCTCGTGATCCATATGACTTTAATCCTGGTGATGTGCCCGATTTTGAGGATAGCGATATAGAAGGAGTATATGAAGGAAAGGATATTTATGTTTGTTATTTAAAGACTGATGATGGTGAACTTATTGGACCATTAAGATTAGATATAGAGGATATAGAGATGGGTTTACCAGGTGATAATCAAAATAAAGATGATACTACTGATGAAGGTAATTACATGTCTGTGGGCTGATTGTATCATTTAATTGCAGATAATTATGGAGGAAACAGTGTAATCTTGGTTTTGAAATATTCAGTAATTGAAGTAAAACGTTATTAGCACCTCAATGAGACAAATATTTTGCATTGAATATTATATGACTTACGTATTTAGGTTAAATATGTGATTTAAAAATGACACAAATATGATATTTTTGTGTGCATAATATCTGGGTTTTTTTCTCTTTTGATTTAGTTTGGGTTGATTGAGTTAGATTTCAATCTGATTAAAACACAGATCCTATTTCGTTTCGTTTTTTATAGTTCAAAATTTTCGATTTACTTGTCTTCACAACACTAGGATCTGGAAGAGTTGTTATATAACAGGCGTTCTAGTTGATGTGATGAATAAGCCAATGAAACGATCTGTTACTGCGAGTTCTTGGCGTGCTGCGCACGGAACTGTGGGTAAACCCCTAGAAACGCCAACGCTGATTGATTAATCCATGTCTGACGTCATAAGGTCAAAATACGCTCGTATGACCCTTGACGCGACCTCCTAGTACAACTGGTCAGATCTTTATGTAGTGTAGGCCATCGAAAGTATAAAAAAACAAAACGAAATATAGATCAGTATTTTAATCAGATTGGTTAGATTTGTTTCATATTCACTGTTTAAAATACATTTTGTAAAATGAGTACTCAGTTGTTATATTAACTGGCTTATACCCAGCCTGATTGTGTTGTCTTTGAAATTATAACACATAAAGGGAGTTGACCATTTATACATGTATTATTACACACTTTGGTATGGTTAAGACCGCTTGTGTTCAGTTCAGTGTCTTATACATATCTTACTATTTATTTGACAGACATATTATTAGTTTTGCTATTACCGTCAAAATAATCATACCAATAATTAATATATTCCAGGAATAAGTAAAACCAATAATAAATTATTGTGGGTTGTCTAGTATTTGTTTACCTAAGAATACAATTTACTCTGTTAAAACTTTATAAGTAGGAAACAGTATACCAATAATGAAATATTTGGGTAAGTATCATTAAGCCCTTCATTAAAATATTTTGCCCACAATGTTTATTTTCCAGGTATGCGTAATCGTCAAACAGGGTCTCATGGTTTAAATGAGTTTTCCAGCAGAAGTCATAGTATGTTAACAGTTACCATAGATACAGAGGCACAAGATCAAGAAGATGAAAATCTTTATATTACAAAACGTGGAAAACTCACATTTGTAGATTTAGCTGGTAAGTTGTTAAATAATTCTGATATTATCTTGGCAATATTCTATGGTCCTTAGAACATTATATTTCTATGGTCCTTACAGATTGCAAATGAAATTAATCAGCTGAGAAATTCACTTTTTTATATCCCCAAAATATCTACTGGGGGGAAAGCCTTAAACTTTTTTCTATTCAACAAAAAATTTCTTCAAATTTGTAATTCAAAAGATAGAAAAGTATTGATTGACATTGTTATCAATTTTATAACAGGCTTTTGAAATTTGAGTATAGAGTAAAAAATGTACAAAAAAAATGTATTATGGTTCCGGCTCACTTTGGAGATATTTGTGTAAATTACATTTCAACTCTGAATAACTGAATAATCTGAATAACTATAATTGTTGGATAATGTACAAATTGTAAAGAGTTTAGTAATGTTTATGAACCAGAAGGGGAAAGTTTGAATGTTTTTTTATTATGAAATAGGTAGTGAGAAGGTGAAAGTTTAATTGAGTTTGAATGGGTTTTTTTATTATGAAATAGGTAGTGAGAAGGTGAAAGTTTAATTGAGTTTGAATGGGTTTTTTTATTATGAAATAGGTAGTGAGAAGGTGAAAGTTTAATTGAGTTTGAATGGGTTTTTTTATTATGAAATAGGTAGTGAGAAGGTGAGAGATACAGGCTCAACAGGTGGAACTTTAACAGAAGCCAACAGCATCAATAAAAGTCTTCTTATTTTAGGTAAGAATAAATATCTTGTTGGTATAGAATAAAATAGGGTTTAATAGTTATCTTGAGACTAACATATGGTATTGTTCACTTTAATGTTAACATTTGCAATGTGAAGGAAATGATTTTGGCCAGACAGCCACTTTTGATCTATGTTTTTCTTATCACCCGAATAACTAGACACACTTTCTTTGTCAATCCCACAGGTGCCACCCCTTACATTACGGTAAAATGTAAGGCCATGCCTCAGATAAAGAATACAAAATTATCACAGGGTAAATCCGTTCATTGGGACGCCAATGTTGATCTAAGATCCCCAGACACCAAGAAACGGTCTAAAGAGGAGACAGGTTTTAGTAATGATTTTGATTTCGATGATGGAATAAGTGTTGTAGGATTCAAAAAACAAATTAAAACTTCCACGGATAAGAAAGTGGATAGAAGAAATCTCTCTAAGAAGAATAAAATTATTCAGAAGAATAAGATTGTTCAGAAGAAGAAAATACCAATACAGTGGCAAGCAAAACCTAAGGAGACTACGCCACCTGAGGATAATTCGTTTGGTAAAAGGGATGTAAATAAGGCTTCCCCCAGACTAGCTCCTGTTGTGGTGCCAACAGTTGATGACGATTCAGATATCTCACTTACTGAAGATTTGGAAAATCTTTTAAACAGTTCACCACGAAATAAACATGTCAATAAGCGGATTTTGAAGGATGTAGAAAAATTGAACTCTCTCAGTTTTTCAAACAATGCTAAAGATTTGCGCTCAAGTCGTTCCTTAGGAGTAAGTCCGCAACGATCTCCACGTAATTTGAAATCAAGTTTTTCTACTAATGATTTACAACTAGGATTACATTCTCGGCGATCGTTAAGATCAAGTAAATCATCATTTCGCGACAAGAAAGATTATCCAGACTCCTGGGAGTTTGAGTTAGATGATCCTCCTTCATGGAGGCGTGAAGTTTATGAACGTGATCGGTATACTTTTATCACATCTGAGTTTCCAGATGAAGATGAAATAGTTAAAAGTTCTCGAAGACAGATTCCATCTCAGAATAAATCAGTCCATAAATCAGTTAATCCACATAAATATAGAAATATCTATGATGATGATGATCTAGATAGTCAAAGTTTGGACAGTATTCCATCCCCAAATGATATTTTATTTCAAAGAGACAATTTTTTGTTTTCTCCTGATCAAGACGAACCCAAAGATTCAAAATTTAGACGTGAACGTACTGAGGATACACCTCGAACTAAAGCCTATAAATTGACAACAAGAAGTACACCTGTCAGCCGAGCAGATGAAAAAATAACTAGTGATAAACCAAAAATTAGTACTTCTCCAACACAACCGCCTATTCAAAAACCTCCCAAGAAAATCGTAGAACAATTGAAAACTACATCAGTGAGCAGTGCACTAAAAGTTGGAGATTCACCCACAGATCATAAAAAACCTGCACCATTTGTAGTTGCACAAAGGTCTAAAGGAAATCAAAGACTTAAAGAAATAAAACTATTGAATGGATATGGTTCAGTAGATCTTAAATCTCCCCCAAATATTCTTGAATCTCCTACGGACGAAAAAAACCCTTCTGAAACCATAGTTAAAAAGCCAGCAGAAAAACCCAATAAACAAGACAGAAAAAGTCCTTCAAAACCAACTTATCCCCCGGTTCCTCGTTTCCGACCACAGTCTCAAACACCAAATCCAAGTCCAAGAAAAGCAAGTCCAATAAAAGAAGCTGCAAAACCGGCAAAAAATCTCACAAATGAATTGAAATCCCCGACACTCTCTCAACCAGCAAAATCAATAGTACAACCTGGAAAGCCGTCATCAAGTCCAAACAGTTCTCAAGTTTTATCTCAGATACCAAATAAAACTAAAGAGAGTGAAAATAATTTGATTTCTACAGGGAACACAATAGGAGCATCTGGCGAATTAAAGTCAAATCAGCCACCACCTATCAGTTCTACACACAGTCCTAGTGCAAATCATCCACTGCCTGTCAGTTCTACACACAGTCCTGGTGCAAATCATCCACCATCTTTTGGTCCTGGTGCAAATCATCCACCAACTATCGGTTCTACACACAGTCCTGGTGCCAGTCCAAGGTCCAAAGTAAAGTCACAATCTCCTAGAAAAGGTAAAAGTCCAAAAACAGCTAGTCCAGAGAAACTGAAAGTGGAGACTCCATATGTTGATGATGATAGTCCTTGGGGAACTCCAAGAGTCAGAGTAGTTCCTGAAGTCAGTAAAACTCCAACATTAATTTCACAAACACCTCATTCATCACAGCAATTTGTCACTGAAGGACATGGAGATAAAGTTCAAGTGATTCATTCACTACGGAGATTAGCATTTAACAAATTAAGGTCCGATTTTGATGAAAAAAAGATTACACCAAGAGTGGTTCCTTCAGGGTACACAGTTCAGAAAGTTCCGGGCCAGGCTTGAAAAATCACAAAGTTCTTCACAGCCCAACATGAGATCCCAGCCTGGGACATTGTGGCCAGGAGGCCAATTTCCTATCATATAAAGTATGGAAAAGATTAGATTAGGCAAATTGAATACAGTTGGCAGTATTCTAAGCAATGTCTTTTCTGGTGCCATATGCTATATTGACAGATTTATTGTTTTTAGAAACAGTTTATTAATTGATATTATTTGTTTTTTGTTCTTGTTATAGGTAATTGTATTTCTCATCTGGGAGATGCTAAAAGACGGCAGGGACATATACCATACAGAGATAGTAAACTTACTAAATTATTAGCTGATTCACTAGGTGGAAATGGAGTGACACTTATGGTATGAACCATCATTAATTACTTAATTTGAGTTGAATCGACAATTTAGTCAAAAATGTTCTTGAAATGATTAGCATATTTTGTTGTGTGTATGCACAACACCAATTGCCATTTACAGTTAAAAGAAATGACATGGAGATAGGCTTCTTCACAGCTTCAATGCCTACTTCACGTTGTAAAAATTGAATTTGATCTGGTCTGTCAGACATTTTTAAATTAATTCTTTAAATCCTGTTGATACAGGTATTTGGGTTCTCGTTAAAGTTTTGTCAATGATTTATATTTTCAGATTGCGTGTATTACACCAAGTTCTCACAATGCTGCAGAAACATTAAATACTCTTCGTTACGCCAGTAGAGCAAAAAAAATCAAAACAAAACCTATAGTTAAGATGGTGAGTAATAAACAAAACCTCTTGTTAAAATGGTGAGTTGTAAACAAAACCTCTTGTTAAAATGGTGAGTTGTAAACAAAACCTCTTGTTAAAATGGTGAGTTGTAAACAAAATTTCGATTATAAGTTTCATGGACATCAAATAGGACTAGGAAAGGTATTGAATGATTTTAAAATTGGAAAGTGAGGGTTCTTAGTGATGTATTTTTAATATCACATTTGGAATAAAATTATCCAGCTGATATCATTCAGTATTTCTATTTCCCAAATCATTATAACTTACTGATATTATACGATTTAATTGCCTGGAGAAACTTTTGGTGCTGTCAGTACTGGTTCAGTTCATTAGTGTGTCATGGAAATATAATATTTTAATGAGGAAAATAATCTGTTTATTTTGTAGGATCCAAGAGAGAAATTAATACTGAGTTTAAAGCGTGAAATAAAGATTCTACGTAACGAGAACCACTACCTCCGACAACAAATGGATTTTCCTGCCAAGCCGAAAGGTCAACTCCAAAAGGAAAATGATGAAAAGTTCATGTCTTTTATGAAGGAACAGCAACGAAAAGGTAGGAATTTTGATCTAAATTCTTTTGAACATTTATATTTTGGCATTTGATAGAGACTTTGCATCTTGACACAAAGTACCATTTTATGGATATACATCTACTCAGGTCACCTCGGGACTAACATATGGTTCAATTTTATTTCAATATTTCGTTTGCGCGTAGGGGTCTTTGGCAGTGGTGGGAGGAAACCGGAGGACCCAAATAGAAAACCTACGAGGTTGGACAGGTGACCCTACTCCTTATTATGTACAACTGGAGAATCGAAACTACGCCAGTTGACTCAATGACAGACTTTATTATACAGCGCGCACATGTTAACTATTCGGCCATCCAACGCCCGGTTATAAAGGTGTCTAGATTAATTTTAAAGAATGATTTTTATAGAGAGTGGTCTTTATGAGATGTTACAAGAGTATATGGTAGAGAATGAAGCCTTGAGGTGAGTCAATATACTACTTGTATTAATATTACCAGCACTAAACATTAAATTCAAAAGTTATCTCCCCTTTAGCTGTCCAGTTTCCATTATATCTAATAAAATGGCTTTGATATTTGTTGCATTTTTAGATCAGAAAATTCTGACCATCATTCTGTTAGAGATAGGATCAGAAGAGAACAACAGGGACTTTATAAAGAAAACGAAAAATTGATGAAACGAGTTGAAGAATTAGAAAGGTAAAATTTATATTAATAACTTTCAGTTCATAGCAAGAAATAAAAAACATTCTATTTTATTGGCTCTTGTATACATTATAACTAGTTTTAATTAGTTTGATTTAATTTGATTAGCTTTTGTGTTGAATAGAAAATGTCAACATACCAAAAATGCTGTTTTCTATGTTAAAATAACTGAAAAAAAGCACAAGACTAATCTGAAAGCAATCTTGATTGGTGTATTTTTTTATGGTGCTCCTCCTCTTTTTTTTTGTGGTCTGCACCTCATTATCAAAGTTCACATATTCTTGCTTGCATAAACTCATAGTTAAAATCCAGGGATCTCATTTCAGTCATATTTGCTGGTCTTTTCTGATTGACAGTACAATTGCCCAGCTGAAGAACGTAACTTTCTGTCAATTTACATTGTATGAAATTATAATTTCAAAGCATTTAACCGTAAAAAAACCCAATAAATGTAGTTTTCATGAGTAAAAAGGATTAAAAATAGATAAAATAACTAGTATGCTAAAATTGACATATTCTATGAAAAAAATATCTTGCTAATCTGAGGAAATTGACCAGCTACCAAACTTTTGAAGTTAAAGCCCTGTTTAAAAGATATGTTAAGAAATAATAATGTGTTATTTCCAATTAACAGAATTGTAGCAACAAGTCCTCAAACATGGCAGCATCTTTCACGTAATGTTTCACAAGTTGAGCCACCAGATGCTGAAAGGATGTCACCAAAACATCACCATATACCGAGTGGTCAGCAGTATCCTATACAAACAGGTCATCCAGGTCATGGTAATCCAGGTCAGGGATATCCAGTTCAGGGTCAAGTGCATCCAGGTCAAGGTTATCCAAGTCAATCAGGTGTTCATTCTGGGGGTCAAGGGCCGAGAGGACTCCCAACTAGATTACCAGTAAGTTTACTGAAATACTATAAAGATGACATATTTATAGAAGAAATTTAAAAGATTTCATTTATGATATTCAGTATAACCTAGCAGAGATTTAAATACAAGCCGTAGCTAAATATATGGAGCCATGGTGATTCGATGCGTATGACACTGGATTGGCTCACTAACATTGAGCTCTCGGATTCAATCCTGGTGTTGGCCAAGAAAGTTCTTTAGGATTTTCCAGCATGATTTCTCTAGTGCAGGATGGGGATAAACTGGCAAGAAAAAGTGTCCACATGTGCAGATGGGACAAAAAACTGAGGTTTCGTGCGCACCATTGGCAGATCCCTTTTAAGTTGGAAATTGAAACCTGGTTGTTGGAGAAAGGTGCGATATTACACACTGCACAACCACATCCTCTTTCTTACTGAATATTGTATTTGATGCTTCCATTTGAGAAATATATCTTACACATTTTCATTTTTCAATGTATTAGAAAATGCCAAGTGTGGTTTGCTTTTACCAACATATTCCAGTCATGTTACTAGATACTGACTATTTTCATCCCTTTTCTTTTTACAGCCTCAAGATTTACCAAGACCAGATCCCAATCAGATAGGTCATGTTCCTAATAATAGAACACGACCTCCTCCACCACCAGGTGGTGCACCACACCGACCTCCACATCGTCTTTCAGATACTATAGTCAGAACATCACAAGGGTAGGTATTAATAATTATTTCATGAAAAGATAAATTTTCTTGTAATGAAAATACAATTACATGAAATATTATGTCTTAACTTTCATTGTAGGCAATTTGATACTGCACAAAATGGTGGCTATCAAGATCAACCTCAAAACAGTCCCCGTAACCGACAAAGACAAGGTATGATTGATTAGATATTTTGGTTTTCTTTAATGATTTTAATTGATAGCATTAAAACGATTTAGGAGAATAGTATTTTTAAGTTTAAATTATATCTTAGTTGTACCTAGCAAATTATCAGGCACTATTGAACTCATAGTCCTACAGCAACATGACAGCGCTTCATTTAAGGTATTAAAAACGGCGAAAGTATTGTTCGTCTCCAAGCAGTATTGGTTACATTGTAGCCGTTTTGATAGCCTCGTTTGTCACACAATTAGTTTTTCTGCAATATTCTGCTATGCACTGGTTAATTGGGTTTAATAAATTTTGTGAGTCATGATGTAACATTATGCAAACATATCTGGAGCTCTGTTTATACCCGAATTATATTGTTACGCCGTTAGGTATTGGTTGTTAATCGGACTATTGACCAGTCATAATTTGGAACAGAAATTTGCTTTTGTTACACTAGTGTTGAGTGGGATTAGGTCTAATAAAACGAAACACTGCAAGGAGTATGTATGGACCTAGTACTTGAAATTTTGCTAGACATGTTTTTAAAAATGTCATTAAAAACACAGAAAAATAACAAACTTGTGCTTGACTATATTATGATCATCTTTTTGTTTGGAAGTCAGACCGAGGTGTTGCCCTCTTTGACATACCATTGGCCTTTATTACAATTTTTATAATATTTTCCCCTTTGTATTATCAATAATTCAGCTAAAAATGGAAAAAATAAAAATAAACTGCAGGTAGAAAATTGATATAAAAATTGCTTGAATATTGTCTTATGTCTTGTGTTTGTTTACTATATTTATGTTTTGATCAACAAATGTATTTTATCGGACACCATAGAAAATTTGTCTTTACTTTTTACTTTGTGTTTCACGGATTGCACCAAGTTTTTGACTATACAATATTTGTTTTTTTCTTTGGTCATATTTGTCTTTTCTGAATTTTCTGCATCAATTGTTGTTTAAATTCAATTTCGTTATTTCCAATTTTGATGTCTTTACATCTTGTGTAGTAACTCTTCTTTTCTAGAAAAGAAATCACTTTTCAAAGTTTCTACTATACTAGTTTGAAACACATATTAAAGACTTATTCCTTATGTGGGAAAGTTCTTTTATAACTTGATATTTTATATATATAAGCTCTGATAAAATGTATATTAAAAACCAAAACTTGTTCAAGAATGATTTGAATTCATCAAAAATTGTCTAACAACCTAACAATGAATATGATATTTATAATATGTTAAATAAAATAGAATCAATGATGACTATGTAAACAAATTGATTATTCCAGTCTCCCCAAACAGAGGCAACCTAGACAGGAAAGTTTCCACAGGGTCAAATTCTGGTGAGTTATCCCCCTTTAGTCTCCCAATACATCCATGGGGTGCTTGATTGAACATTCCAGAATTGAATCTGTCAAACCCCAAAAATAGTGATAATCGAGAGCAATTGGGAATTTGGCATGCGCTGATTGCATGAGAAAATATCTGAAACAACTCCGACAGATGTAACATATGCATTGTGTTTGATTAATTCATGATTCTACTCATGCCACCTTCGTTGTTGGGACTGACAGAACTGTGACAAGACTGAATTCTGTGTCACATGATTGCAATTCCGTCAATTTGGAATGTTCCGGACTGACAGTCTAGTATCCCCCATTAAAAAAAATATTTTCGTGGTTTCAGAGTATAGAATCTACTTTAGAGAGATTTAAATTAATGTAGAAGTCTATAATTGTAAAACATCTATTTCAAATTTCTTTAATATTAGCAAAAAAATTATTTGTTGAAACAACCATTCTGCTCCTGTACTAATGCTAGTTGTGTGGCTGGATAAGCAAAACTATGCAACAAGCCAACTAATGTCATTGTTTAAAATTTATTTTATAATTAGATTTAATTATTCATCTTTTTAATTAATAAATTATTTTTTATTTTAATTTTCGGGGGGTTATTTTCTTATCTTACAGAAGCAATATATGGAATGAACGCAAAATTAAAATCTGAATTGTTAGAATTGGAGGGTGAAATAGCTCAACATCAGCGATATACTCAAAGACGACATGACCCACAATACCAGAATCCACATAGATGACAAGCTAATACTTTATTAGCATAATTTTTATTAATGAAATTTTAAGGTTAATTTCCTTGATATCCAGTCTTTAATGATTCCTGATTTTAATTTTTTAAATGAAATAATTATTTCTGGATAATCATAATATAGATAAACTGGGTATGACATGGCCTTCAGTGTATGGTGATTCTGAAGAGGGATTTTTATATTGTGTCTGGATAATAATATCTAGAGCCCTGTTCACCAATATTTAATCATTAAAGCTTGGATTTTTCTACTAATGATCAACTAATTATGAAAGCTTTATTATCAAAGGTTAGTAAAACTGAAAGAATGAATAAAGTATGAACATTTATGAGATCAATTTGGATAATTTCAGCAAGAAAGAGAGGTTATTTTACAATTTAGAAAATATAGTGTATAAACTGAGTATTTTTGTTGACAATAATGATATGACATTGTAACAAATTCAGACATGAACAAATTTATCAGCATGAAAATAAGTCTCAGGTAGCGATGATGTTTTAAGGACAGATTGTCTCAAACCAACAACTTAATTCCATGTTCCAGGTTCTCCATATTTTGATGTCACATCCATATTTTGATGCCACATCCATATTTTGATGTCGCATCCATATTTTGATGTCACATCCATATTTTGACCCACCCATCAAAGGATGGTTGTTTTAAAAAATCCAAATAACCACAAACAGCCTCATTCATTTCTGCAGGTAAAAAGTCACCCCTGTGACATGAAGTTAATCTATAAAATTTTTTGAATGCATCCATAGGCTCATTTATCAAGTACACAACCCTGATAACTATTAATGACAATCATAAATGATACTGAATAATCCTACATTACTTTAAAAACAACATGATAAGATAAATGTAGGGCCTTGGAATTTGATGTGTATGAGAAGTCATTTAAACAAGTAGTATAATAATAATAATTATAAAAACTTTATTTAATGAGGCAACTTATTTAGTTTGCAAAAAAAATCCCCAACTAATCTTCCATAACCTTTTGACAAATAAAAACCTCCTTCCTGCAAGTATATTTGTTTATGACAGACAAATCATTTGTGCTCATTTACATGTGAAAAGTAATAATGATTATGTAGGAGTATTTGGATTTCTTACAAATATAAGAAAACAAGTGGTGTAACCGTAACTAATTGCTTCCAGTGTTAAACATAGTGAACGGAACTTCTATTTAACTTGACATTGTGATTTAACCGGGCAATACATATAACATAGATAGATTTATAGTTTGAAATCTATGTCACCAGAGATCTAGTTATTACCTATTTAATGTGATATTTAAAAGTTTATATGTGTTTTTTATATTTAAATGTGTTTGTATATTGTCGTCACTCCCAGTATTTCATCTGTCTGTCAGTCAACCTGTCATCTACATTTGCTGACAGATGCTGTAGGGGTTACAGTTGTCTTGAAATTTATACACTGTGTTTATGTTTTACGAGACAAAAAAGCCTATTGCAGAGGTTTTCTCACAACTAAAATTATCTTTCTAGTTCTACACAATGCTCGTGAAGAAATCTATTTGTTTTCAGTAAATTCTGGTAATTACTTTCATAGAGTTATTGTCCTTGATGCCTTTGAAAAGTCCTGTGAACCCTCTAAAGTCTAAGGTTATCAACTGTTGATTAGAACTTTATGTTCTGGAGAAGAAAGGGCTTATTGATTTTTAACAATATACGGATGTTACTCGAAAAACTAAAGATACCTTCAGTTTGTGTTAGTGCTTGGAAGATGAAAAACTAAAGATACCTTCAGTTTGTGTTAGTGCTTGGAAGAACTAGAAGCCTATCAAATTTGAATTGTTTCTGATAATTACTTCATTGATTGTTGCCCTTGATCAGGTTTTAGAATGTCTCGTAATGAATGTGTACATTACCCACAACAGAATAAAAATTCAACAACATTTTTGGACGACTCAGAATACTTAGCTGCTGTAGGCATATGTTTTACGACTGGCAACTTATATTTTATAATAATTTAAGTACAGCACCTTGTCCTTATCATGTGCAAACTCCGTCCATTTTGTATAAATATTTTGTACTTTTTAATATTTTACTCAACCACATTTGATGGATTCTTTTATTAACTTTCACTATATTAATAATTTATTGTTATACAAACAGTCCAGACTATCCATCCATGTTAATGCTCAAGAGGTGTGAACTTATAGAGATTTCATTTATATTATGCAAATATGATAATATATGCTCATTACGTTTAATACTATGATCTCAAAACAGAATCTAATGATATAAAATTAAGTTCATATTTATTAATCCATCTCTATAGGTCATTGTAGTTTGTTCTTGTTGTGTGAATACAGATTAATTTGATACAAATGACTGTGATAAATATAGGATATTTATATTATCTAAACCTTCTCAAGTTATTTGTGGTGATTAAAATTGCTATACATTTAGCTAAGTGTATGGATGATTTTTGTTAATAATTATATTATTCTCAGACAAGCATTAAAATTTACATTTCTCCTATAATAATTATTCGCTCAATGTGTGCATTTATTGCATGTCTCACTAGTTGTACCAACTATTTATGTGAAACCCTAAATAATTGTAAATATTGAATTTATTTATGTGATGAGCTGTGGATATTAATTTTATTATTAAAACTTCCTCATGGATTATTATAGTTTCTATATCTATTGTAGAATATCGTTTTATCTCAGTAATTGTAAATAGAAATGACATGGGGTTTAATGTCCTACTGTTCTACTCCGACTGGGCTAAAGACAGAATTGTAAATAGTATATTATATGAACTGTTAATAAGTGCTCAGAATCTCTTTACATGTTAATAAAATCATATTTCAACTAAATTTGTACCTTGATTTTGGTAACTCTTAGATTACGGGAAATCCCCCTCGTTTTTATTCTGCATATAGGAGTACGTGTGGGACTACTACCGTGTGATTGTTTTCTCATTTCCAAAATAGATCAGCAGTTTAAAACAGAATTGAAAAGTAGAGGATGGGGTTTCATGTCGTACTTTTCTGCATCGACTGGGCAATGAGGATGGGATTACACTATATAGTGCTATGAGGGGAATTTGGTCCTGGCAGCAGCGCTGTGCTCTACTCTTATTTTAAATTCTGGTTTCTAAGGTTTCTTTTACGTGCATGCCAATGTGTACACATGACTTCGTTTTTGTCCCATCCAAACATCTAGACACTGTTCCTTGCCAGGCCCTTTATCCTGCACCACTAACAAGGAGGTAACAGCCTGACTCCCTGAATAATAATGCTAAGCATGCAAAGTAATGGAAGATCAAAAGGACCACAGGGGGGATATACATGTAGTTATAATTCGTCAATAGGCAGACAAAGTGACTTATCGTCAATAGGTTACGGTAGGAAGATAAGTCACTTCGTCTGCCTACTGACGAATTGTAGTTTCCAAGCACTCTCACAAGTTTGATTCGCAAACCTTTCGGTGTCCACTTGACACAAACTAGGTCATTTCGGGACTAACACATGGTTCACTTTTATTTCAATAATTCGCCGGGACGTAGGGGTCTTTATCAGTAGGAGGACACCGGAGAAAACCCACGAGGTTTGACACATGAACCTACTCCTTGTTGCATACAAGTGGGGAATCAAAACCATGCCACCCGACTCAATGACAGACCTTATGATTTCACGCCAATAAGATATGACTATAAATTTATTACAACATATAAGACTGCATATTAATAAATACATGATATATTTGATATACTGTATATTATATTTACTATAACATTTTTTATACTGCTTTATACTCCTAATTTAACAGTTTTATTTATTAAGTATAGCTGTAGAGACTCTTACAGGTCTAAGAATTTGAACACACACAAAAAGCAAGTAAGACTCAGTTTAAAACAAAATAGCATAGTGGCTGCACTATAGTGTTTTCCACATAATAGATACAGGCTTGAATGCTTAGTGCATATTGGCGAGTACTTACAATTACTGTATTCAGTAAATTAAAACTTTATTTCATATACATGGCCACTTTCCTACACCAGATACAAAAATTATTGTTAGAAAATGGTGGCGATAAGAATGTGGTTGCTTACCAATTTCAGTGAAGCCATTTGGCAAGACTTTGATAAATATTACACACAAGGGCTTGACCATAATGCTGTTTGGAGCCATGCTAATCTCCTGCCTTGTACCAAAACCTGCTCTAGAGTGAATCACACATAATGTTGGAGGTCCAGGTTTAGTTACATATAGATATATGGCTAGTGTAATTCAAATTCTAAATTTTATCATTGCTGATCATCTCTTTAGTAACATTAATAGCTATAATTAAATATCCAACTGGGTATATGATAAATAACATTTTGTTATGTTTCAATATATATAACAAACAACATGGTAGCATTAGTAACCAGTGACAACAAAGCATATATAAACTTACATTATGCATAAGTTCAGACAGAGTTGAATAGTAAAATATCTAAATCATGTGTTCTTTGTGAGTTTCTAACAACATTCATTATTGTGACCAAATAATTGGTAATATGACATTCAGTTTAATATTTGATGAAATTAATCCTTTAAATGAAATCTATCACCAATGGCATTAATATAAACACTTATTGATAAAATGATGGGCAAGCCAAAGTCCTTGATAATATAATAATAATGTCATTGTTGGGTAAAAGGTATCTTACTTATATATTAAAATTGCAAAAGCCATTTATTTAGAAGTATGACTAAGGAATAGAATTTTAGATTTCAACCAGGGCTATCACTTCAAAATTTTGCCAGACAGTCAATTTTACCTATTTTGTTTTGTCAAAGAATGTGTCAAATGTTAACATTATCCCAATTTTTAAATATATTTTAAAGTGTTTTTACACAATAAATTAAACTGTAGTTAATGTGTTTTATTAGATTTTTAATTTTATGCCATGTCAATTGACTGCCAGGTAAATTTTCCAGGTGGATAATTGGAGGGTCTAGAGCACAAGTGATCTAACAACCAACTAAAATGGTTGGTTGTTAGATCACTTGTGCTCTAGACCCTCCAATTGTGCCCTGATTTCAACATCTTCCTTTATAATAATCAAAGTGTAATAAATTGCTAGAAACCTAAAATAAAATATGTCTAAGACTGTTAGTATACACAAAAAAATAATTGAGTATTATATTGATACAATAATTGTTCGGGTCACAGTTATATCTTAAATAAAACAAAATATAAACAACCAGTAAATAATCAACAGAATGTAAAAAATAAACAAAAACATGCAACAATATAAACAAAATTAATAATTAATGGAAGTATCTTAGTTTTTAAACATGGTGTAAAGAGGGTACATATAAATAAATTCTACCAAAACTTGTATTGATTACAACTTATAGAACTGATATCTACTTTATATTGTTCGATAGAAGAACTTGTTTGATCTGGTGGACATGATACAACACTTGTCAATACAACACTTTGGTCATTTTGTGACTAAAATATGAGTTTTTTAATCACATGCTATTCTATGTAATGAATATTGCGATAAACATCAGTATTTCCAACTATTTTCATTGATATACATCTATTACGCCCACTCTAGTGTGTACATAGGTGAAACTTTGTTTTTCATTCCATCCTAACAACTAGGCAATACTTTTCTTGTCAGAAAAATGAAGAGCTCAGTGCCCTTACTACTCGATTACCACTCCATGTGATTGACAGACTTATGACATCTACGCATTGAACTAAAAGGTACAGATGAGAAGAAGAGATGTTTTAACTGGATACAAATTCATAAATTTCTCTATTAAGGTTATAAGTTTATTCTACCTAATTAGATTTATATTATATTAGTAAAGTGGAGTGTATTCGAATTAATTGCACCATATAATGTATAAATATATTTTGAACATAAAAATGAAAGTAAAAATGATGAATAATGCCATTGTGACAATTACAGATTCTTATGAGGGGATAAATATCTCTACATACATACATATATCAAATGGAGGTTAATCTGCATATTGTACAGATATTCTCCCTGCCATTCTAATTTTACATAAAAAAAAAACCCAACATTTTGGTGAATTGTCATTAATCATAAATTTAGCTTCAGACTAGCATAAGGTTAAGAATTATTTTCTTTGGCAAACAAAATTAATAATCAAAATTCAACTATGGTCTTCATTGATGCCAGTGTCTATTACTTTCGTTATGACAGTGAAAAGAGTATGGATGATAGTTATTTCCTTCAAATCTCTACCATCCCTTGTTCAGATCCTGTACAATTTGATTTCCCTCAATGAAAATTGGTGATATTTTTGTTTATTCACGAAATAAAGTAAATGGCCCAAAAGAGATAATTTCAAATTCTAATATTCAGCACAACTTAATTAATAAAATAATAAAGAAGTTGACTAATCACACGTCAGTAATTTAAGGACACGTTTACCAGATGCATGTACTTTGTCCTAGTTAAACTAAATATTGACCATGTAATTACAAAACATGCACTTATATTCATCTAATGTGGTAATATTAAAGACCCATTATGTAACATTTAGATAAAGCTAACAGTTCTCACTTTAAATATATAATGCATCTAATAATACATCTATAACAGATTATTTAATTATTTGAAAGGAAAAAATTTACATCATGATTTTAAATGTTACTAGCTCAGTTCATGATTTGGTTTTCTTAACTCTGAAATTAATTACCAAAAATTGTTATTAATCATATTATAACTTTAGCCTCTAGAGTGTCAATGACCAAACCATGAAAAGGGGTGAGGACAATAACTGACAACATTTCAAAGTGGGTGTAAAAAAATGGGAAATAGCATCCATTACACATTTGTAAGAAGCATTGAAAGTCACAATTAAGCAATTAACAAATATATATATTTATATATATATATACCCTATTTACTCGGCTAATCTTGGATTTAAATAAAAAATATATCCATTAAACAATAACTACATATGCCTCTACTCTTTAATCTACCCTATAACCTAGATGATTCTAAGAAATGGTAAGTGAAAATGTTCAATTCTACAGCATTGATTTTCTAAAAAAATCTTCTATCTATTAGCCTTAGAAAATGTCTCACATTTTCAAAATAAGAAAGAAAATAATACTTGTTTCATACATACATGTGTAGTACCATGGCAGTTGTTGCAAACTATTATGGTAATTAATATTCTAACTAAAAAGGAAATTTGTGTTGTTCTAATTAGCTACGGCAAGATGTCTCTTGAAAATCAGATTGGATGTTAAATTTCATCCCATTGTTTATATATACAAGCTGACATGGAATAAATGGGTCTCTCTATTTATTATCACATGTGTACTACTTTCACTTTCTAAATCGCTACTTGATTCACATTTCAAATACATTATCTATATTCAAATTTGTGGAAGAATAACCAGTGATAGGTTGTGAATACATATAACTGTATTATACACTATTCTTTCTTTTCACATCTTACTAGAAACACATTTTCCTTTCACAAACCAATACATCTCATAATGTAAATAGGTGACAGGGGGAATAACTGTGAGATGTTTACATGCCTCCACCAAGAGTTAAAACTTCAAAACAAGTATTACACACACGTACAGGTTTTGACAGATTAAATTTTATAATTGGCATGTCTTTAGCTGAACACTTTGAGCATAATAAACGTCCACAATGACGACTGAAAAATAAACGATATCAGTATAAAGAATAGTTAATGATAAGAAAAAATTGTAAGGTGAAATATTCCTTCTTAAAAGAGAGAGAAATTGGGTTTAAAGTCCACTCGACACTAAACAATCATTTCTGGACTAATATATGATACACTTTTGGATCAGGAACTGAGCGCCAAGCACTTCTCATCGTGTTGTTCATTTGTGGGGCAGTTGGTCTCGCTCTTCAAAAAAATCAGAACAATTCAAATATGATTGATATAAAATTTGGCATGCTTTGTTCCTATGAAAATTGTGCATCAATTGACACACTTTAATTTTTGATATGACCCCACAATTCCAAGATGGTGGCATTGATGGCATGCTAAGTTCCTGGTCCATAGTACACTCGTACTAGTTTATTTCATTACGTCCATGTATGCAGCAGTCGATAGATGTTGGAGGAAACCCGAGTAACCAGAAAAAACCCCAAAGTTTGGGAAGCGACACAATTCCTCTACAAACTTGAGACTGAATCCATGATCCATATATAACAGGACTTACATTCTACAATGTACACATTCTGAAGAAATATAATATACACTGGTGGAACAGTAAGACTGCCATGAAACAAATGATGTTTAGCCATGTCCATATAAAGACATGCAAAGTAATGTTTAGAAGAAAGATGAGAAAGAACAAACACATGACTTACCAATGATGTTTTCTAGTTTTGATACCAAATTTAACATTACATTCTAAACAATGCTCTCCTTCACTCCATGGTGGCTCTGCTGATAACATATCTACAATAATAAAATAAACAACCTTGATTGATAACATATCTACAATAATAAAATAAACAACAACAATATAGTCATGACTCATGACTACCTTGACTGCTGTCTACAAATGAGAGATAGAGAGAGAGAGAGAGAGAGAGAGAGAGAGAAATGGGGTTTAACGTCCACTTGATACAAACTAGGTCATTTCAGGACTATCATATAATTCAATTTTATTTCCATAATTCGCTTGCGCGTAGGGGTCTTTAGCAGTGGGAGGAAACCGGAGGGCCCGGAGAAAACCCACATGGTTGGACATCTACAAATGAAGACTTCAAACACAAACACAGTATATCCAATCTAGTAACTCGGGCTAAAAGTTATTTTACTTAATCAAATAAATTGTATATTTAATCAGACATTTTTCTCTTGACAATGTTTTAATGACTTACCTAATAACTTGAATAATAACTGTTTTGTAGCAACTGGTGCATTAAATATACTTAAACCCTGCTTATTGACCACACCCATACACGTACCAGCTCTTACCAATGCTCTACATAGGTTACCATTACCATTCATATAGGCTAATAATAACACTGTAATTATACAATATTATATAGACTAATAATAACACTGTAATTATACAATATCATATAGACTAATAATTACACTGTAATTATACAATATCATATAGGCTAAAAATAACACTGTAATTATACAATATCATATAGACTAACAATTACACTGTAATTAATTATACAATATCATATAGGCAAATAATAACCCTGTAATTATACAATATCATATAAACTGATGACAATAATGTTAATATACAATATCATATTCTTAATTAAATAATCAGTGGATATAAATTAACTGTTAATTGATTAAAACATTGAAAAAATTTTCTTGGTTTAAAAATTTAAAAAAAAGCTGTTGATAAAGAGACCAATATTTAACAATTTTCTATTGTATCTATGTTTTATTAATTTCCTTTTACTACCTGTATTTCCGTCATCATCAGGAATATCAATCGGATACTCAGGCATCGTTTCACGGAATAATTCAAATATGGCTGCGGAATTCTCACGATTATGTTGACCTAAGATGTGGAGTGGAGTTTGACCTCTGAAATAATTTTTAATCATCAATCATATTCAAATAGTTTTAAAATATCATTTTTCATGCAATTAATCATTGTCAATAATATGTACAGGTAGTTTACTGAATGAAATATGAAGTATTCAGACTTAAAAGGGCTAAACCTCTAACTTACTATTTTCCTTAATATTCGAAATTAAAAACATGAATTAGTATTCAATATTGTCCCATTTCAATCAATATTGATGTTGTTGTCTTGCTGTGAAAATATAGTATCTTAATATCCAATATTTAAGACACAATTAACATTTTTTAATTACTACACAAGTCATGTAATTTTATGGTTTTGGGCAGCATTTGTAATGAATAAAGATAAACATATCCTATAAGACAATGCAGAAGAAATCAGTAATGGTTGATTCACAAACAACAAAATGATAATAAAAAAAACATGTAGTGTGGCTAAGGGGGCATAAACAACTGTCGGTCAGTTTGAACTATTCAAGTATTTCACCAATCATATCTGATTAGAAATTACAATAAATGTTTTAAAAGCTGAATATAAAGCATTTTATATACATTCATATTACATCAATGTGCTTTTAGACCCATTTCCAAAGAATAGAGTCATACGCCCTTTAATTAAGTCATTTAGATAAATTTCAATGTAGAAAATGTTGTTCATAGACTTGTATTTGCAAAGTTCATAATTAATCAATTAAAAATAAAATTTCCTGTCTTACTTAGCATTAACAGCTTCAGCATTAATTCTGGATTCTGTGAGAAGAATTTTAATAGAATTTAGATGACCATGATACACAGCTGTATGTAAAGCTGAAAAAAAACCAATTAGTACACATGTCATTATTCAATACTCAAAAATATTTTAGTTTAGTTATTTTTAAACTACCAGTAAAGATTTTAAATCGATTGCTTAGAAATTTATTAAACAATTTTTTTATTACATTTTTATATTGTTGATTTGGAATCCTGCTCTCATTGACTGTTAAGGTGGCAGGAGAATAGTAGTTACTACACTGCACTTGTAATTAGTGATACAACTCAAATTAATATTCTTGAATTATATTTTTATTTTCAAGAGGATTTCAAATTAGTCATGGGTGACACCGGTTGTGCTAGAATGCATACAGATACTTGAAGGAACATTTTTAGGGCTGCATTGTCTCATCCCATGACCAGTGACAATCGAGAAATCTCACACAAGGTTTACAAATAAACGACTATGAATGACTTACCATTATTGAGATTTTCATCGACAGCATCATAATCCACATTATTTTCTAATAATACTCCACATATAGCACTACTGTCGTTACTAGCGGCTAGATGGAGAGCTGTTTCACCTGATTTAGTTGGTTCATTTACACTGGCTCCTGCTAATAACTATAAAACAACAAAAATCAACATTAATGAGGTTTAATAATCGGTTCTATCCTCCTCAACAGTTTGATACAAGCATTTCGAATATTTAAGCATTAAAGGACAATGTTGGTGTCCACTAGAGAGAGAGAGAGAAATGGGGTTTAACGTCCACTTGACATAAACTAGGTCATTTCGGAACTAACATATTGTTCAATTTTATTTTCATAATTCGCTTGCGCGTAGGGGTCTTTAGCAGTGGGAGGAAATTGGAGGTCCCGGAGAAAACCCACGAGGTTGAACAGGCGACCCTGGTCCTTGTCACGTACAACTGGGGAATCGAAACGCCGCCAGTTGACTCAATGACAGACTTTATGATACAGCGGGCACGTGCTAACCATTCAGCCATCCAACCCCCCTTGATGTCCACTAATATTACATGTGACAGAGCTGGTTAAACACATTCCAAATACAATATCAACACAGAGATCATTGCTACAATAGAATTTATTCAGGCTTCGATATTCATGGTCAATGGATAGTGATTAAAGACAACATTGTCTTTTATATGTAATGGATTCTCCTCCCTTCTTCATACATTGCTAGTTACCGCAACTGCCAAGTCACGTGACACAAACATGACTTCTTTTTATAGATTTTTTATAGTTTGGGGTATTTCCTCATGAATACAATGTTTTGAGAGGGATTTGAAGCAAATGATCAAAAGATTAATTAGTTTGAATGTTTTTAGTCCAAATATATCATCAAATCACCCAGTTCGTACATGTCAAGGTATCTTTAACAAAAAAGGCTGACATATATATTCATAGATATATTTGTCTGTTTATAAAAACTTACCAGATTTCTTACGATAATTTCGGAGCCAGCCATAACAGCAAGATGTAATGGTGTTAATTGATTAGAATCTTGTACCCGAGAGTTAACATTAGCATGTACAGCTATCAAAAACAACACACTTTCTATATCACATTTCTGTATAGCCAGGTGGAGAAAATTTCTACCTCTATTGTCATTCTGAAAGTACAATCAAAAATAGTAAGATAAAAGTGTCGGAGTGAATAATTTAATATAATGTTATCAGAAAAGTGTTATTATCAAAATTATTATTCATATAGTAGTTTGAAATAACGTGATTATCTGTCAGGTGCAATAACACCAATCCCATTTTAAAGAAAACTTCAGATTTTTTGTTGTGCCCCAAGTTTGAGCTCCATCACATTTGAAGTAAAATGGGGTATCTTATTTATGTAGTAATGTAATGGGATACTTGACTGAATGTTATAGAACTAAATTATCTCAAACAGTTGAAAGGTGTCAATCAAATAATAAACACAAGAATTTTGGGCCATGTGTCAACTGAATATGACATTATCTCTACCAATGTCATTTGATTATGTCATGATTCTGTTAGATAACATCTGTATTCAAGACTGCCAAAACTGTAAAAGGACTCAATTCTGTGCCTCTCGACTGCAATTCCGTATGTTCTGGTCTGAGAATCAAGCACGCTCAGTTGTTGTTGAGCCAGATAATTAAACAATTTTTATCGCATAGGTTTTACCTGTTCTGCTGCAGTTGGTTCTCTGTTTAATATAGCTTGAGCAGCTTTATTATTTTTAGTTGCCATAGCAACAGAAAATGGAGTTTGACCAGTTTTATCTCTAATGGTAAGATCTATCATCGGATGAGCTAACAGAAGGGAGATAATTACTGCATGTTGATTTTCTATAGCTATGTGGACTGGCGTTTTACCTTCAGCATCCTGTTACAAATATAAAATAATATATAACAAATGTCTACATCCCACATCCATGCACATATTTTAAAAATTATTCAAGACACTTGTAAATAGCTAAAGGAATAACTACTATATGTATATCTGTGTTTGTCAAAGGATTTGCATGGATGTACATGTAAGTTATTTAACTGTCGAACAGTATATGTAAGATATGTCACAGGCAGAAAATTTGTAGATACCTCCAGTCCAGAGTCAATACCTTTGACATGTGTCTTTTTGCCTCTCCCCTGGCGGTCAAATATCACAAAAAGTCTACAAGAGTATAAAGAGAGAGAGAGAGAGAAATGGGGAGGACCCGGGGAAAACCCACAAGCTTGGACAGGCGACCTTACTCTTTGCCATGTACAACCGGGGAATTGAAACCACGCCAGCTGACTCAAGGACAGACCATATGATACAGCACGCACATGCTAACCATTCGGCCATCCAAGACCCCCCCCCCAGACACAGGATAATAGAAGTTGATGTAGATCTACAGAAATGGTTAATTAACGAGATAATCTACTAAAATGCCTGGAAATGAATTCATACAATCCCACATACGGACATTCAAGTAAACACAAGAAATAATCTGAGCTGAAACATGTTCGCTGCATTTGACTACATCCCAATTCTACTCACACCACATCCAAATTTAAAATTCTCCAAAATCAATCATCCCCAAGGCACTTACATGCCTAGTATTTTATTCATACACTATCAAAAACTGACATATTACTACAATGTGATAAACATTCACTACAAAGATGAAATAATTTGAATAAATACCTGAATATTCATATTAACATCATGTTCCATTAAACACTGAACAACCTTTTCTTGACCCCAAGCACATGCTAGATGTAAAGGTGCCTGACCATCTCTACAAAGCAAAACATTTTAACCCTTTAAATTATTGTTATTATAATCTACTTGAGAAAAAAAGATATACCATTTTTAAACACAAGGTACAATGAAATACTGTTTACCTTGGTTACCTGAAAATTTCTGGGAAAAATCATGTTTTTATATATTGAGATTTGTCAATAATTTTCAAAACCTCAGAAAATGCATCTGCCAGACAGCCACTATCAGTTACAGTAGTATACTGTCCTTAAATAGAGGAAAGAAAGAGAGAGAGATGGGGTTTAATGTCCACTTGACACAAACTAGGTCATTTCGAGACTAACATATGGTTAAATTTCCTTTCAATAATTCGCTTGCGTGTAGGGGTTTTTAACAGTGAGAGGAAACCGGAGAAAACCCACAAAGTTGAACAGACGGCCCTTCTCTTTGTCATGTACAATCCGGGAATCAAAACCACGCCAGTTGAATTAATGACAGACCTAATGAGACAACGTGCATGGGCTAACCATTCGGCCATACAACTGCGCCTTTAATAGATTAAAGATGCTCCTAAAAATGATAAATTTTGGATTGGTCTTGTATTATTCGGGAAGACAAAGAAAACAACTCATTTCCTATTCCTGATTTTGAAAAAAAAATACTTCAAACAAGATTATTTACTTAGCCTCATCTCCACCCTGTCCATCCAATCCTTCTTTTCTAGGACTATTTTTATCACACATACTGAAATAATAATATATCATATATGTATCGCATTTTTCGATTTATTCCTTATACTATTCGTATTTATTCAACACAATAAAAACCTTGAGTAGTAATATTACATTGGTCTGCAAGAATAAAGTATTTTAATAAATTTAAGAGAAGAAAGCTGAACATATAGGTGAGGGATCCCCCGAATTACTGTGCTGATTAGTAGTGTTTAATAGTGTGTTTCAATCTCAATTGAAATTCATCAGATACATTTCATATCACATGACCATCATCAGTTACATTTCATATCAATTAACCATCATCAGATACATTTCATATCAATTGACCATCATCAGATACATTTCATATCACATGACCATCATCAGTTACATTTCATATCAATTAACCACCATCAGATACATTTCATATCAATTGACCATCATCAGATACATTTCATATCAATTAACCATCATCAGTTACATTTCATATCAATTAACCATCATCAGTTACATTTCATATTAATTGACCATTATCAGATACATTTCATATCAAGCTAAACAATAATAAATAAAGAAAGAAATAAACCATTTTGTTGCACAAATCTACTGACCTTCTAATAAGGAAACATGCAACAGATTCATTATTTTCATCAATTGCTCGATGTAACAAAGTTTGTTGGCAGCCACCTGGTCCAGGTGACCAGAAATTAACATCACATTTATATTGTACCTGTAAAATATTGTTCACATTATATCACAATACATTCTAGTTGATTAATTAAATAATATCTATGATTAGTTTATTCTTATATCATAATTTCTACTACATATAGTGACTTAACAAAGGGTGATATCACAGAAACCCCCAAACCATAATATCAATAATCCTGGAACAAAAATAAGAAATGCTCTGACAAGGCTAATGATGTTGGGTATAAGCCATACAATGTGCGCTATAAGGAAACGTTTGACCTGATAGTGGAATTACTTCCTACTCTTAATTCAATTTGTAACTGTCAGGGGAATTTTCTCTGTCAACACAGGGATCAAACCAAGTGACCTCCTGGTTATTGAGTCAGCAGCATACTCACCTAGCCTCCAAGAAAAGAGATAAATTTCATCAAAAGAATTGTTATGGCCAAAAAAGCAAACATATATTTTGTAATGCCACTGATTATAAATTATATAAATTTCTATCATACCAGTGTATGAGCAATGTCTTCCTGTCCTGAATCTAAAGCTTGCCATAACGGACAATTAGCTTCAGTATCTATCACATTCATATTACAACTTTTACTACATAATGTATCAACAACCACAGGTAGATGGCGCTGTATAGCATGCTGTAATGCTGTTAACTGGTCTGGAGATCTGTAATAAAAATAACTGACTAGTTAGTTTTATAGTCAAGTTTATAATAGGCTCACAATTCTTTTTATAAGCAGATGGATGGATGGATGGATGGATGGATGGATGGATGGATGGATGGATAGATAAAAATGCCTGTTTAGAGCAAACCAATTTAATTTTCAGTTTTTCGAGGTCTTGGTAAATAAATATCCACTTGAATCACAGGTTTTTGTTTTAAATTCCAAAACTTAAAATTTGGAACTAAGAGCTTTTGAACAGTGCATCCAAGCAACCTGAGAAGTAAAATTTGAAAATGCGTTCACAAAAAACAGAAATTCGAATTGGTGTGGCATTACTGACAACCTTTATCATAATGACTAACCCTTTTGTTTCAAGTTATATAATATACTTACTTTGCCTCATAATCTGAATTATTTTCTATAAGAAATAAAGCAGCTATTGTATCTTGTTTTTCTATAGCTTGATGTAATAGTGTTAAACCTTCTGCATTCTTCTCATTTATATTAGCTCCTGCCATTAATAATCTGGCTGCTACTTCATGTTGACCATTCCATAATGATAAACCTAAAATTGTCTGCCCTTGCGAATCTTTAATGTTGAAGTTAGGAACAACTGCTAGATTGTTAGGTTTTTTGGAGAGATTAGCTATAAAAGAATTCAATATATAGCAATAACTTATTAAGGAAGAAAATTATTGGAAATAAAATGGAGTTTCATAGTATGTCAGCTCCAACCGGGCTATATTGTGTCAAACATATGGTGACATACGAGACCGTCTAAATCTTACCACAAAACAAAATATCTACATGCACAAATAAAAACAAATATCCCTGGGATTTTTAAAATTAAAAAATAAATATCATAAAGTTTAGAGGACATAAATATAAAAATGAAAAGATACAGACAATTAAAATTAAGAATAAAAAAATGTTTCTTTTAAAAAGTTGAGGAGTTTGCAATATTGACCTGATTGGGAAAATAAATGTTGTAATGGCAATAATTTGATCATATATTGTCATATATAAAATCCCTATTACTTGCTCACTATTCTACTTTAAAATAGTAGATTAATACTAATTAGTTAAAGGAGCTAAATCGCTAATATTTTGAACCTAGAAATTGGCACAAATGGGTCGTAACACATATAATAATGTAACATGAATTTATATAAACTGTTTTACATTCAATCGTGTCCGATTTACTGTGAATTGTCATCAGTTATGTTCGGCGAAAAACGCCAGAAGTCTCAACCGCAAGTCAGTTTCTAGCGTCTGGTTATTCCAGTCAACACCGATATTATTTATTGCGCATGCTCTTCAAATAAGAACATGATATCACCGTTTGACATGACTTGTGGAACTTGTCTAGCATCATTTTTTGAGCACCTTGTTACAAATGTTTATTTTGTCTTAAATATTGGATATCAGAAGCCCATCTTTTCCAGTTAAGATCACAACACCAATGCTGATTTAAATTGCAAAAAAAATCGTGTTTCCAATGTCGAAGATTTTGGATGATATTGAGTTACGGACTTAGCTACTTTAAATGTGGTCTAAACCCATTATGGTACATAGAGTTGTTTCCCTTGTTAATGAAAGACCTTAGTCCTAGAGCATTCTGGGATTGGGTGAACTTCAAGATGGATGTTTGTTTTGATGGACTCTTAATAAATAAAACCAATCCAGGACAATCCTAGAATAAACACCCCCACACAACAATATTCTTGAGATGCTTGCACTCAATCAAAATGTGCTTAACTATCCAAGGAACATGACAGTGGTCACATTCTGATTGATTGAAAATATGAGTGAAAAAAGTTTGACAAAAATGAGAGTGAAACAAAAACACTTCACCCCTCCGTTTAGATCTATAGGAGTTTGGAGATAATCATTGGAATAGGAATACTGTTTTGTCAACTTTAAAAATTTCTGCTATATAAATACAAGTTAACATGATCTATTCTAATCTAAGCAACTGGTTTGTTAACTCTGTGGTGCATTGATTGTGTTCCTTATTCAGGAATCTTATATACCACCATAGGAGAATTGGGGGATCCCAAAGGTCCTTGCCTAGCCGCTCCTCCTCGCTCAACTGGAAAATGATGGCGTGCCACTGTTAACTTCTTTACTAAATATGAAAAAGCCAATAAAACAATAAAACTCACTTTTAAAATCTAGAAAGACTTGAACAATATCATTATGTTTATTTGTTAGTGCTACATGTAGCGGTGTTTGTCTGGCCGGGGTACCCTCCATGTCAGACATATTTGATATCAGATCTGATGCAGCTTTAGTCTGTATGTTGGAATTGCCTCCATTTTCTAATATAATCTCAACCAGTTTTTTCAAACCGGTTTGACAGGCTAGATGTAGTGCACTCTCTCCCTGAAACAATAAATGTAAGGATACTTACATATATTTTAGTAAATAAAATTCAGTAAATAAAACTTTTGTAAAGTTCAATATAAGAAAATCTGCGATAACTTTTCAAAGAAATTAAAACTTTCAGTATTCATGCGGTGTTGACCATAGGTCCCCAAATTCCACCGGCACCCATTGTAAATCTGTGGATAACAATGTCTATATACACTCCGAAGTAATAGTGGTAAGTACTAATCACGATTATCGGAAGCCACGATTGTTCAGTGAGTAAGACTGCCTGGAGGTTCTGAGAAAGTTCCGTACGAAACTAAACCGCATTTCATTTTTTCAAGATTATCAGTTACTCATATAATTCAAGAATGAAATTCCTCAAATGAGTTATAGTCGTTTGAACTCGACAAAAAATTATGGTCTTATGTAAACATTGGTGTGCACTTAATGCACCCTTGACAGTTGGAATTTGAAATAAGGGTAGCACCGCTGTTTTGGGCCAGATTTCCCTTTTAGCACACTGCATGGAGTATGCCGATCTTCATTTGCCCAGTTGGTGCAGAAAAGTAGGAAACTAAACCCCATTTCATTTCATTTCCTCTCGATTATCAAGTTACTCATGTAATTGAAGAATGAAATTCCTCAAATGAGTTATATAAACCATGTTAAGCAAATCTGGTTCAACTATAATCTTACCTTGCTATTAGTATGATCAACTTTAGCACCATGTTTAGCTAGAAATATGCCAGCTGCTTCATTACCCTCTTTAGCTGCTAGATGTAGTAAACTATTTCCTATATCAAAATACAAACATGTAACAGTTATAACTTTAACAAAATAAAATTAAGGTTCAAGAACTAAAACAAATGGTTATAACTTAAAGAACAAAATAATATAGTATATTAGCATTCTCGATTTAAAGACAGCATTTCAATTCTGACGTCTTAATTCATGTGGTTTGTATATGTGATCTGCAAATGATGCCGATTGTTGCAAGATTTGGAATCAAATCATTTTTGGACTGATATTCCTTGTAGTGATTCAAATTTCACATTACTGTAATTGGCAAGGGATTCAAAATCACGTGAATGACAATCAGCAGCCATAATCAAAACTGTAGAAAATCAGCTTTAATGTAATTTATTAATTTTACCGGATTCTGGTTCTATGGCATTTGGTGAACTTCCATGTTTCAATAACATTGCTGCAAAACTATCATCACCATAGTTACTGTTATTCCCTTCCTATAGAATGATATAAAAATCTTTAAATGAAATGAAATGAAATGAAATGGGGTTTAACGTCCTACTGTTCTGCTCCTATACTGGGCTAATGAAGACGGGCATACGCCATACAGTGTGCTATGAGGGAAATTTTGCCCGGGCAGCGGCACTATTGCCTACTCTTATATCGAATTCCAACTGCCAAGGGATCTTTTACGTGCATTCCAATGTATACACGGGACCTCGGTTTTTCGTCTCATCCGAAGGACTAGACAGCTGTCCTTGTCAGGCCCTCCGTTCTGCACAACTGACAAGGGGAAACCACGTCGGAAAATCCAGATGAACTTTCTCGGCCAATGCAGGGATCGAACACCCGACCTCCAGGCTAGCGAGCCAGCGTCTTAACCACCTAGCCACCGTGGCTCCCAAAAAAAAAAAAAAAAAAAATCTTTAAAATATACAGATCTGTAAATATGACCCAACATAGAAGGAATACTTATGAGGTATATGACCCAATATACAAGGTATATGTGTGAGATACTGATAAGGTACGACAAAATATACATGGATTAAGTGTGATGTTTATGACTCAATATACAAGGAATACTCATGAGGTATATGACCCAATATACAAGGTATAGATGTGAGATACTAATGAGGTATAACACAATATACATGGGTTAGATGTGATGTTTATGACTCAATATACAAGAAATACTCATGAGGGAATTCTAAAATAATTAACAATATATTTGGTGGATCATTTTCAATTATGAACATTTTAAACTAACCTCATGTAAAGCCAGCCATAAAACTGTAAAACCATCAGAATTTTTAATCTCTAAATCAGGTTTACCAGTCTCCAATAAAACTTGTAATACTGCGCGATTATTACAAACTACGGCTGTATGTAGAGGTGTACTTTAAATAATAAATATTAATATAACTAAAGTAAAAATATTATAACAAATATTCTTTACTACTAAATCAAGAGCAAGACATGATATCAAAATTTTCATTTTTATAAAAACAATCAATTTAAAACAGAAAAATACTACAAAGTTATCATGTTCCATCAACCAAATTTCAAAATGAAAATATTATGAAATCTGATTTTTGTAATGGAGTTGAATGGTGTTTAAAGTCTCATCAACACAATACTATGATGAATTTGAATTTTTTTGGTATTCAAATGGTTAAGTGTGCAACAAGAGTAGCATTCCCTCCTTTCCCTGTTTGAATTCCATTTGCCAGGTGATCTTTTATGTGCACTGCCCATGTGCACAAAGAATCCAGGTTTTTACATTCCATCTGAATGACTAGACACTCTTTGCTTGTCATCATTACAGGTGTCAACCCTGACAAGTGGAAACCAGGAACGAGAGAGAGAGAAATGGGGTTTAACGTCCACTCGACACAAGCTAGGTCAATTCGGGACTAACACATGGTTCAATTTTATTTTAATAATTCGCTTGTGTGTAGGGGTCTTTAGCAGTGGGAGGAAACCGAAGGACCCAGAGAAAACCCATGAGGCTGGACAGGTGACTATACTTCTTGTCATGTAAACCAGGGAATCGAAACCACGCCAGTTGAATCAATGACAGACCTCATGATACAGCACGCACACGCTAACCATTCGGCCATCCAACCCCACAACAAGGAACGAAGAAACCCTGAATAGTTCATCTCAGTCTTATAATACACTCTGCTTACAAATGGAATGAAAATACAATTAATCACATAATATAACATCTACCTTCCTGTAGTATCTTGTGCATTAGCATCAGCCTTGTGTTCTAACAGTTGTTTAGCTATTCTAGCCATGCCGGTCATGACAACAGAACTTACAGCTTCCGGGTTAAAGGTTGCCACCATATGTAAAGGTGTTTCTTTATCCAGATGTGTGGACATATTGACATCAGCATTATTCTTAATCAAAAAACTTGCTGCGTAATCATCTCCTAAAAAAAAATTTTTAAATATGATGAGCAATCGGGATATGTATCGTAAATGAATTTTAAAAATTAACTCCTTTAATATCTTAGCAAAAAAGCCCCAAAAATGTATTACTTTATCATTTTGACAAAATAGTGCCAATATAAATGAAGTAATTTCGGTGTGCCACCATAAATAATTATCTACAAATATATTGATAATTACACCTCAAATTTCATATATATAGTTTGTCATCAAATCACTTGGAAACTCATGAACATTCCCTGTAGTAATTTCAACTTTTATTAGAACAAATTTTGACGGAGACAATAATTACCCTTCTTCCATGGTCCAAATTCAGAAAAGAGAGAGAGAGAAATGGGGTTTAACGTCCACTCGACACAAACTAGGTCATTTCGGGACTAACATATGGTTTCATTTTATTCAATAATTCCCTTGAACGTAGGGGTCTTTCGCAGTGGGAGGAACCCGGAGAACCCAGAGAAAACCCACGAGGTTGGACAGGTGACCCTACTCCTTGTCACGTACAACCGGGGATCCGAAACCACGCCAGTTGACTCAATGACAGGCCTTATGATACAGCATGCATGTGCTAATCGTTTGACCATCCAACCCCCACAAATTCAGAAGATTATGAAACAAATTTAAACAGTTTTTACTAAAACAAAACATCTTACCTCTTTTGATTGCTTTGTGTAGAAGACATTTTCCTACTTTATCTGTTTTATTAACATCTGCTTTATGATTAATTAAAGTCTGACTTATACTCTCTTGTTTAGACTGGAGGGCCAAGTCTAAAGCAATATCACCTTTATCATCCAGTTCATTTAGTTTTATTTGTAACTGAAAGTATATGACAAGCACTCAAAAAAAACCAATATTCAATTGAGATGTATAAGTTATACATGTACTAGTATCCAATTGACAATCTTGGAAATAAACCAAACATTGCTTATAATTGAGGAATGTTAGGCACTATTTCTTAGGTAAGCCTCATTTTTCAAGGAGCAAAACATCCTAATTTCTGTGCTGAAACTAATATTCCTCATAAATCTCCACCACAGAAACTAAATTTTTACCTGAAGTTTTGTGAGAAACATCAAAAATCATTATTTCCAATCAAGCTAATAAGAGAATTTACTTATAATTTCTGTACTATTGTATAAGAATTCAAATAAACAATCTGGTCTTGGCATTCACAGCTGAGAGCAATCTTTAAAATCATTTTTCTGTGCTACCCCAGTCATTGTTTTTTGAGGCGCGCGATCGCTCTCGAGCGCCTGTCGAGCACCCGAATGTCGACTGAGGGGAGGTTTTTCCCCCTCGCCTTAAAATTGAAAATCGCTGTATATATTTGGGTTTTTTTTTTTTCAAAAGAGTGTGAAAGACTCACTTTCCAAGCGCCACCATGCTGTCATTGTGAACATTTATTTGGTGTATTCGATTAGTATAATGTGATCGCACAAGGTAATAAAATTCCGATGAATATGTTGCTAAAAATAGATGGCGACTGTGCACCATTGGTTAATTTAACTGAAATGAAAAGTAAAACTCTCGCGAGACGTGAGAAATTACGAGAGATGGCACGTGAAAATTTCCAATGAGAATAATTCCGGAAGAAATAGATTATATTTTAATGGAATTTTCAAGCGTTTATGATTATATTTTGAATAGGGGTTATGTTTTTAAACAAAATTTATACAAGCTATATATATTTAGAAATGTCGACAAGTATGTCTATTGGAATACCATATGTACTGTAGTTATAGACGACAGTAGAAGTTTGACTTGACCGTACGACTACACAAGTGCTATTTAGCAGACGATGTTTATTATCATTTATATGTAACCAAGAATGACCCTTACACGCAGTTATTGATCTTCAGAACCATTTCCCATACAAACAACTAATCACTCTCCTTAATATCAGATCATTCTCCTTAATTTCTAAATCACTCTTCTTATCGAAACTGGGAGAGTTTTTTTAGGGGAGCGATTTTTTCAATTTGTTCATTAAGGGGAGCTTTTTTCGGCTCTCCTCTAAAATACAAAAAAACAATGACTACTACCCTTTTGTCCAAGAATAGATATATTATACATACATTATATTTAAGTACATACCTTAGAATCATATTCTATTAAGAAAAGGAAGACAACATCTTCTCTTTGTGCTCTGATAGATGTATGTAGAGGATATTCTGTTTTAGTTTTAAACATCTTATATAACAGAGGTGCTGGTAGATAAACAAAATCATCACTGGTAAAATCATTCTGTCAACAAATTTAATAAAATTCAAGTGAATAAAAGAAAGTAAAAGTGAATAAATAAATAATAGTGCAACAGCATATGTGACAGTTTCGTTGTGTCTAGGACTTTTATGATTCAGCACAAAATATGCTATTTTTCCAGCGTGCAAAATGACCTACGCGTCAGATCCAGTTTCGGTCATTTTCCACAGCCCTTGGTCTTAATGACTTGATGATGACAGTCCGGGCGAGAATTATTATGTCTGATAGCCGTAAGTCATTTCAGTTATTGGGGATTGCATTGCAGACTCTATATTCAGCATTTAATTTAAAGTAAATTTAATCCCAATGAAGGCAAAATTTTCTCAAACTAGATGTGATCCCAACAGGCAATTTTTTTAAAAAAAAAAAATACAAGAACTGGACTGTTGAGGCTATTCTGTATACCATGAATTTAACAAGAAAGCCTGAAGGTAATAAAGAAGAATTCTAATTACGATAATTACCCAATGATTAGTGATAAGTTCTGAACAATGAAGTTTTAATACTTCTGCTGACATTTCCTCTGCTGTCTGATAAAATTTTATACAATTCTTCATATTTACAAATGACATCAAACCATTCTCACATCTAGAAAAAGAAAAACAATCTCACACCTGTATTTCTTTACGGTATTACACAACAACCCATATCCGATCATTTAGATTATGCACTAAAAGGGGATATTTACTGGAATGAATATAAACAAATTTGACTCACCTAACACGAAGAGATTCCAACTTAAATCTTGTGGCAGCTCGTAATAATTCTAATAAAAATGTATCTTCTACTTTTATATTTATCTCATCCGTATAAACCCATTTCATCATAGCATGTCCAACTTCATACTTTATATCTATAAAAACCAAAACATTAATACATGTAGATGATAATAATAAAACTCACAACATGTGAGACAAGTGGCCAAATAACAAAAACACAGAGAATATGAAATGAAAAAACCATGACATTGTATATCTACAATACCTGTGCAGAGCAAGACTGTTTTTTTGTTCAACCTAACTAGAAATCGAAAGCAGAAACTAACAAATCCGAAACACCACTTTACCATAGTATGTGTTGCAGCCAATGGTTAATGAGAGAGAGAAATTAGGTTTAACGTTTAACGTCCACTCGACACAAACTAGGTCATTTTGGGACTAACACATTGTTAGATTTTATTTCAATAATTCGCTTGCGTGTAGGGGTCATTAGCAGTGGGAGGAAACTGGAGGACCAGGAGAAAAAGAACGACCCTACTCCTTGTCACATATAATCGTGGAATAGAAACCACGCCAGTTGACTCAAAACAGACCTTATGATACATAGCTCACGTGCTAAACATTTGGCCATCCAACCCCCCAATGGTTAATGAGCAGATTGTGTATGCTGGTAACATGATGTATATCAACCAAGACAGCATAACTCATTTAATGTCAATTTTTGTGACAGTTTAACTAACCTTGTTAAATTAAATGAACAGTACCTGTAAGGTCTAATTCTGCACCATTGCCAATTTCTGCTATACCCCAGTCATCACTTCGGGCTGATAAAACAAACTTGTGAGAATTTAGCTGATGCCCCCCTTCTAACAAGATCCTCACATCACTGAAAGGAAATATACTGTTTGAACAGTGTTTTACTCAATTTTACCTATTCATTGTTTTAAACACAAAAACTAGTGCTCTGATATCTGGTTAATGAAATGTGACACATGAATTTGGTTGTATCTGTGTACATTGTGTTTTTTGTTGTGAATACTTAGTTTTTCTTCTAGATGTCATTTAAAGAATATATATTTTCTGGTCTATTGTAAATCTGAAAATTTCATTCTTCTCAATTAATAGAATTAAAGCAATAAACGGCCTTGGATGCAAAAGCTAGCGTTACTTTCATTGTTTAAGCTTAATTGTATAGGTACATCTCCTAAAAACCTTTATGGTTTCTCATATCACGTTGGTCATTATGTATTGGGAATGTGTATGTGACAGAATACAATTTACTGTACCTATATTGCTCTTTATCAAATAAATCTGCCACAACACCAAGTAACTTAGAAACAAAGTTATTCTCTCCTCCATCACCACTAGAGGCTAAAGCTACTTGGTATTTCTTCTCAACATCAGCAAAACGTTCTTGAAGTTTTACATACTCCTCCTTTAATAAACTCAGATGATTCTTTAGTTTGGTCACTTCTACATAATACAAATGGAAGCAAACTGAGATTGTGAGATTTAAATCAATTTTCATGTATACTGCACATATTTGTAAGCATATAGCCTACATAAGATCATGATAAATAAATGTATCTATCTGTACACTTGGACATGGACATTTACTTCAGTTATCTCGGAATCAAATTTCACTCTTTGTGTGAAAGTTGTCTTAGACTGACTAGGCTGCAGCCAGGCACCCCAATATTAAAAGGGCCCCGAATTAGTTCTACTTTTCTAATATACTTTTATTTATTTTGCTGTAGTATATATGTTTGTGCCAAATAAATCTCTATATCTACCATACTGATATACAGATTGCATTTGTGTGAGTTTGACAGATAATGACCAGAATGTGCCCCCTTTTCACTGTTGATCACTTGATGCAGGGGTCCAGTGACATTTTCAACCAGGGGCCCAATGCAAGCTTAACCAAGTCCTGATCACATGGGTTACTAGGGAAAATAAACTTTTCATATGATAAATAATTCGTTGGCGACAAATCACTATGACGATCACCTTTCATATCATGAGAGATCTGTCAAATGTCATTCACTTTAGCGTTTCATAGCTGCAAGAAAAAAGAAATCCATTCGGGAAGGCGTCTTGCGATAAAATCCTCTGCAATAATTCCTGTGCTGTTTAACATAATGCAGGGTCTGGATATGATTAATAACTTTATTCGAAAATCTCAGTGTGAAATTATTTCGTTCAAAGCGAAAGATTATTCAATTAATTCCAAAACACTCCCATTACTTACCATCCGCCATTTTGACTAATGTTGGTCATGTGACATTTTGGTTGAATCCATTTTTGGAATACAGATCGATACTGAGGGAACATATTATTTTCTTTTATTGACACCAATCTATCAAGCATGAAAATGTTGATAACATACTATTTTTGCCCAGCCATCCCTTTTCTCTTTCCTAGAAGGAGAAAGGGAACTGGAATTCAAAGATCTGGATCTTAAACACACATTTTATTGGTTATGTCCCTTTAATCACATTCCTTTGACAGTATAATATACCGGGTACTACCTACCACAGACTCTAATATAGGTTCCATTCTATTAACTTAATGATATATTCTCTCAGATGTATCAAAATTAATTTTAAGATGGTTAAATGAAAATATGGTAAGGCCCACACGGTAAAAATGACTCAAGATATAAGGACATGATAAAAATGGCAAAATAGTGGAAATGGCACAATTCCGATACACAAGGATTCAGTTCTGTAAAACACATTATTATTGATATTATTAGCAGTATTATTATTTACCATGGACATTATATAGTGCTTCTACGTTTAATTTTATTGTTTTATTTCAGTATTAGGTGTGTGTTGTTGTTTGTTTTGTTTTTAATTGGTGCTTCAATTTATGTGATTTAATTACCGGTACTTATTAAGTTATGTGTATTAAAGTCAAATGATAATTATACTATTTAATAAGGTGCTTTTGTTTGTAACAAATAGTATATATTTGATTAAATTCTTAGCAATGTACTTACATGTTTCTCATTTGTTATTTAATTTTAACAAACTGCATGTATTTGTTTTGTTTTTTTAAATTTTGGCCCTTTTAATTACTTTACCACTTGTGACTTTCACTGTAAGCCTTTTCTGTAATTTTTACAGACTTGTTTCTGTAAAACGCCTACAGCGCAGGTCTGTTATCCTGATAACAGACACGAGTCTGTTAATATTTAAGAAATACAGAATTTCGTCCGTAAATATGACATACGGGTGTTTAAATTAAAGTGACGTCATCGGTCTTCCTGGGCGCCATTACTGTTAGACCGTTAGTTAGCGGCAAAGAGGAATCCCTCAACATCGAGCACAATAGTTGAACATTACAGTCAATACCAAACATTGCAGTTTTAGGTAAGTATACAGTAGGGACACATCTTTGTTTGACATAGATTGATTCTTAGCATTCGTAAAAATGTACGGTAACTGATTTATGAAATAGTAGGAATAGACTCTTCTACTTCTAGACAAATGGACATACATGATACTCACATACACTGTCACAGTGTTAGTGTTAGCACAGAGTAAAAATACACTCTGGTGTTAGTGCTAGGCCTAATATTTTTTCGCATTGTTTTTGGAGGCTTCAGTTCTAGTTGAGGCTACTCGGATGACATAATAATAACATTGATATAGAAAAAAAATATATGAACTATGAAGGGCTAACATTTCTGGGCTTCATTAAGTTCATAGTCTCAGGTCTGTAGGCTAGGCCTACCACTGAAAACCATTATTAAGAATTTATTGAATTGTCAATGCATTGTCTGGATAATGATCTTTAATTTTTTATTTTACTAATTTTTTTAGGCACAGCTTATTGCATCCTTGAGTGCCATTCCTGTCATCTATAGAGTGGGCTACCCAGCCTTTCTCTGGGTTAGTAAAATTTTTTCAAAGGTAGGCCCTACCGGTAAAGAAAAATTATAAGATTGAACTTACTGAAGATAATAATTTTGGGAGTTGAGCGCATTGTTAATGAAAACCAACACTTCCTGCCCTCTGCTTGGACCTTGAAATTTGAGGGGTGGTTGGACGAATGGTCTAACCATGGAGCTTATATAAGATCCATGGTCTAACATGGGCCTTAGTTAGGTCAGAATGAAGCCTATGTCTTTGAGTCAAGTGGCGTTGAAAGGAGTAAGATTGCCTGACTAACCGTGTTCATTTTTTCTGGGTCGTTCGTTTTCCTCCCACTGTTTATAAAAGACCTACGGTTAAAGCGATTATTGAAATAAAATTCTATGTTTATTAGTCCAAAAATGACCTAGTTCGTGTTGTGTGTGGATGTTAAATCCCATTTCTCTCTCCCAGCTTGAACCTTGGGGTAGGTCTTATTAGCAACAGGTGAATCCTATTTTAGTCTGCTTTTAGATTTACCTGTCATAGGTGCAGAGTCGCCACTGGTTAGTCCAAAAATCTGATCAGAAACCCAAGATGCGGTAACGATAGAAGAAAGCATGGGTTTTAACCCGGAAAGCAATGGGTGTCACGTTAGTTACAGCTACTACCAATATGAATCATGATCAGAAAAGTTCAACCTAACTTAAAGGAGCTAAATCTGTATTCTTTGGCCCCGAGAAATGAACACAATGGGTCGCAACGATAATAATCTATTATGAATGTCTATAAACTGATTTACATTCAGTCGTTTCTGTTTTTAGTGTAATTTGTAATCAGTTATGCTCGGCGAAATATGTCCAAATTGAATGGCAGTCTGGTTATTCCAGTATACACTGAAAGTGTTTGTGATATGTTTAGTCTCCTGGGGGGGTTGAATGGCTGAATGGTTAGCACGTGCGCGCTGTGCCATAAAGTCTGTCATTGAGTCAACTGGCGTGGTTTCGAATCCCCGGTTGTACGTGGCAAGGAGTAGGGTCGCCTGTCCAACCTCGTGGGTTTTTCTCCGGGTCCTCCGGTTTCCTCCCACTGCTAAAGACCCCTACGCGCAAGCGAATTATTGAAATAAAATTAAAACCATATGTTAGTCCTGAAATGACCTAGTTTGTGTCGAGTGGACGTTAAACCCCATTTCTCTCTCTCTCTCTTTAGTCTCCTGTTTGTGGACATGAAACTTCATTTTCTCGCACATTTAGCTCCCTTTTCCTTAATTAAAATGTGTTCTTTTGAAATGGATGTCGTAAGAAACAACCTGATTGAGAATATTTGTTTTGCAGGTGCATTTTTGAAATTAACCCAGATAACGCACAGAAATCATGAAAAAGAGGAAGACTCGAGTGTGCCAAAAAGTGGTATAACTAATCACTAAACTGTCAAACTTTAAATGGATGAAGTACAGTTACAACAATAGCAACAATATACCGGTACTGTGAGAAGGTATACGACGGTATAGATGCCACATTTTGGTTCAAGGTGCTTTAAATTCTGGACCACGGTTTGGTTAACATGGTACAGATATTTTAACTGTCCATTTTCATCCGATGCAGAATACTCCCCTGTAGTTCATGTGACAAGAAGGAGAAAAGATGGCTTTCGGCAATGAAACCTGTGTCCCGCTGAAAGTACATTCCCCTCCGGCGAACCACAAATCACGGATATAGGAACATTTTGAATCAAAAACGTCAGATGGAAAAGCAGTGGCTAGGGAGCTGGAAACACGTCAAAGAAGAAATACTGTGATATGTATCGTTGCAACCTATGATGCAATAATGTTCATGCATGCAAACTTTAGGGATAGGCCTATTGAGTTTATGGTTAGTTTTTATACACCAGCACATAGTGTGTATAAAATAGGTGATCAGGGACCGAGCCACAACCCTTTTATGAGTGATACTTTGTAAATGAGACTTTAAACGCACTGCAAGAAATCTTTTTAATGAATCTTCTTAATTAAACTTGATCTTCTTATTGTACTTTTGATAAGATGTCCGTTTACTTTAATGGAAAAATCTTTTGGTCATTTAATTTGTCCATCAACAATTTGGTACATTTGTAAAATTATCCTCAGTTCATTTTGTCTCTAAATATGCGGCCGTGTTGCATAAACATTAAAATTGTGTAACTCTCATCTACACATTTCATTTTGGGACTGGTTCATTAACTTTGTCAGTAGTCGAGTTCCATCTAAATTTTTATCTACGAGACTGAATCAATTTATGCCATTCTCACTAAGGAATGTACATGCTTAGGCAGAGTTATTGTGGAAAATTTAATGATATACATTTTCAAACAGAGATTAAGCTAATCATTGAAACAAGCTGTACATTTAAGGTGGAATAATAGGAATTCTGCATTGATGCTGTTCTTGTTTTAAAGTCATGATACTTTTGGGGTTCAATAATTGTTAGATTTTAAATTGTTCATTTAAACATTTAGAATGCAAATTCATTAATTCCAAAAATTTGAATGATTTCATTATTTCATTAGATCATGTTTTACTGTTATAATTTACTTTCATGTTGTTGATGTTTTAAATAATAGATTTGAGGTAAATATTACAACACCTTGGTTAAGATTTTAGAAAAAGATTTGAGGATAATTCTATTGTAACACACTGATTATATATTTGTAGAATAGATTCAGAATGTTGTTGTTCTACTATAAAAAAAATTCATTTGAATATTATAATGTAAATGTTACATGTACAAGAATTTGAATGGATAATTTCATTATTGTTAAATTTATATTTTGTTGCTACCCATTATTTGATACATCCATGGAAATTTTCACATACATTTTTTAATTGCTGGGAATTTTTGTTTGCTTGTCTTGTGAGAACTTGATAAATATTTTGGAGAGTTATTTCCCTTGTTAATAGGGCAACAAATTCTCTTTTTTTTTTTAAAGTCGTCACTATTCCATGTACAAATGTTCATTATTATTAATGAAGAATTATGAAAGGAGCTTTGTTTTTGTTGAAATATACCACCAAACTGCTTGACAGCCAAAGAATATGTTAGATCTCTAAACATTCTCCATATTGTAATATCAAATCTGCTCTTGATCAAATGTGTTAAAAATATGAATTTGTGGTTGACAGGTTTTTTTTTTTTTAAGGCAGTTGTTAGCTTTACTTACTGACAGTAATCTCCAATTTCCAGTATTTTCAGGTCTTTTATTATATCTTAAACTATCATGTAAAAGCATTTTTGAGGAATTAATTGTATCTTATATTGTTTTGAATAATTAAATTCTGTTTTAAATCTTAAGTAAATGTCTTTTTGATGCTTATCATACCATAAGTTTTTTACAGCTGTAAAACATTTTCCGTAAAATTTACGAACAAATGGCTGGCAGCTAGGTTGCCAATCTTTGGACGTAATTTTTACGACATGTTCGTAAAAATATATTTACGGTGTGTCGTAATTTTTACGTACATTGGTTGGCAACCTAGCTGCCAGCCATTTGTCCGTAAATTTTACGGAAAAAGTTTTACAGTGTTGTTGCCAGACATTTTTACCATGCATTTGTTACCTGTGGGATTATTAACTAAATTCGTGAAAGTATTTGATTTACAATAGTCGTGGTGATTTTAAGGTTGTTTTTCAACACATTTCAATTCTACTAATAAGTGTGGCGATTACTTGGAGAATAAAATCGAATACACGTGTATTTTTTTACACTGCAAATAATCTTTTATAGTCGATATACAGCGATAGAGAAAACAGGTATAAGGGTACATCTGATCTGGACATGCCCTTTATATATACAGTATGGCAATACAAGAATATTAATAATGTTTAATAACAATTTTTCATGAATGCTAGGCAAGCACCTGCGTGATCCCACACTTTCATTCTGGTACGGCCATACCGGGTTTTCATATAACGGACTTCCCCAAAGCCACTAAAGGCAGTTTAACGCCCTACTGTTTTCCTACTGGTCTAATGAAGACGGTCATACGCCATACAGTGTACTATGAGGGAAATTTTGCAACGGGATATTTTACGTGCACACCAATGTGTACACGGGGCCTCGGTTTTTCATTCCATTCGAACGACTATACGTTGTCCCTTGATAAACCTTCTCGCCCAACGCTGGGACACACAGAAAAGAAACCACAACAAATTTTATTATTCGATATTTATTGTTATTTTGTGCATATCAATTATGCACGTTATACATTATACAAATAGGCCTATCATGTGTATATTATAATTCAATGCATCACATTATACATTATACAAATATCATTTTGTATATTATAATTCAATGTATCACATTATACATTATACCAATATCATATACAATTTGAATATTATAATTCAATGTATCACATTAATTTTTATCTAAAGCTAACCACATGCGATTTTCGTCTGATTTATATCAGGTTTTTTATCACTCCACTCGTCAGCTTCACTTATTCTACTGCGAGAGTGAAAATCTACTGTTTTCCGAAGTCGGTAAATTCAGCATAAATCAGATGTAAGAACACAGTGGGAAAACTTTAGAGGTAAAATACGAAACACAGCATGGCTTTCATTTTGGATGACTGCCAGTTTGTCTTTATTTATATTCAACCAAATTGAATCTAAGCGCTTTAGTTATTTTCATATATGAAAAACAAACCATCCCGCCCTTCGTCGGTATTATCACTATATTACAATAATGGATTTCGGTAATCGTTTATATTTTTTTTAATAGCAATAAGAACTATTTGGTCAGAACTCACCAAAGTGTTCTCAATTAATTACAAAATGACTTTATTCTGTGTAAATAGAGAGGGAGAGAAATGGGGTTTAACGTCCACCCGACACAAACAAGGTCATTTCGGGACTAACATATGGTTCAATTTTATTTCAATAATTCGCTTGCAGGGGTCTTTAGCAGTGGGAGGAAACTGGAGGACCCGGAGAAAACCCACGAGGTTGGACTATGTAAATAGATTCGCGGAGTAGCAAAATATCCAAACATTCAACCCATATGATTCAGAATCATATTCAGCGGTATCATGTTTTAATTTTGTAATGACTAGATTACCATTAATAATTTCACCAGCACAGCGTGTTATCGACTCTTTAATATTTTCAACTTTAAAATAACATTTCGTTGGTTCCCATGTATATATTAATATAATTTATGGCATCTATTAAAATAATTTGCATAATAATTTGTTCGATGAAATATTTAAATAATCTTTATGATATGAACTATTTACAATAATGTACATGCGTATTTACAATAGTTATGAGTTTCATACAATAATAATGATAATAATAATAATAAAATTAACAAAAATAACACTTTAAAAGTCAGGTTCCAATTTTTCATTAAAATTTTCATTAAAATGTGATTTTGTTTTAAATGAAGACCTAAAATCAGATACAAATGTTTCATTAAAATGTCACTAAAATGTGATTTTGTTTTTAATTGAAGGCAGAGAACACTTTAATGCTCATTGTCAAAATCTAAATGAATTGTACTTACAATGCAACGGAATGATTGAAGGGGTGAATAAAATATTAAATGGATGAATATAAAAATGGATGAATAAAATTTTGACAATATAACGGAATAAAAATAACCCCACCTAGAGAGTTATATGTTGAGAAATTGAAAAACATTATTAATGCGTTAAAATTAAAAAACATTACTAATATACTTTTATTGATGCGTTGAAATTGAAAAACATTACTAATATACATTTATTAATGGAAATGATATGTTTGATTCCGATCCAGCGGTGATTTTAGTCAACCTGACTGACTGACAAAACGAACAACAAGGAAAGGGACTAATTAATGTAGAACACGACGACCAAACATTTTCTTGGGAACTTATTCAAATTATTTGGGACTGGTATTAAAAATTCCTTAATAAAAATCACAACTTAACATCTTGAAATCGAATGCTCTAAGTCTACGAAATGTACACAACAACAAATTCATGCGTTTATCACAGATAAATTAGTTATAAACTATAACACATGCTTATTGAAGAACAATTACTAATTTATTTTTGCAACGTTTCGAAGAATATTCTCTTACTGTATTCAAGCAAGTAATAATTTGTTATCAAGGTCACCATTTTACTTTTTAAAATAAACTTCACCTTTTCCAACGCCCTCTTACTAGCAACAAACTTTGACCAATCTCTTTTTACGAAACGATTTTAATGTTAAAACATTAAATTATAAGTTGTAATTTGACGTGCAGAATACTGCTATTAATACCACTAAAGAGAGAGTTAATATAGAATCACCACTAGTTCTTCGTCCACTATTAACAGTACAGCTGTGACAGCATTCTTCCCCTAATCTGTCACACGGCTCACCAGCATCTATTCTGTCACGACAATCTCTACTACGATCCCCGTAAGGACAGACTAAAGTAATAAAAAAAAATATGATTATGAAATAAAAATACTTGATAAATTATAGAATAATGATAATATTGAAACTTAATGTGTTATTTCTCGTTTGTCTATTGAGAAACATAGCGAAGGATGTGCAGAATCTATTACCACATTGTCCTCCATGTTCCTATTATATTTTTCTTCTGGTACACAATCTGCCACACCAATACAAATAAGACATATAGGACAAATCTTCGCCATACGGGCGAGGTCACTGGTTTGGTTCTTTCTTTCTTTTATAAATTTGAACCAAACAACCACAGGGAATTTGAAAACACCAGACACATTCAAATAAATGCAAAAGAATGGTCACAGATTTGGACAAGCGATTCGAAACCGGGAAAGGCGACTTTTTTTTCTTAGCAACGACTTGCAATAGCAAGTAGTACCAATCTACAAAAATAATAATTTCGACCAGATCCGAATGGTAAATCCGCCCATGCGCAAAAGGCGCAGTTCATACCGTGGTATAATAAATATAGAACTTAAATCGAAAATTAAACAAACAAAAGTGCGATTCTCCTGCACTTACGAATACGCAATGATTGTATACTGTCTAAAAGAGTCTGTAAATGATCAGAAATAGTTGGAAGACCAGACAATAGTGTCTGGTATACAAACTATTAAACTATGTACAACATTTGCTGGTTTTAAATCTAAACACATTACTATCTCCACATTATTAACACTTTACAGAGTATAAGAACCTTTCGTTTGATGTTTTTGTTTTGTATATGGACAAGTATTTGGTAAACCTTACATCGGGATATCTTTGAGTGTGAACATGAATGTCATTGTGAACACTTGTAGTATGTAATGAGGAATGACAGGGGAGTTAATAATTCAGTAGCAGTGACCCACATTTGTAATCCCAATGTGTTGTATGTGTTATTATATTTTATTACCTGCTTTGTTATTATCTCGTAATCTAAGACAAATCTGACAACATTGGAAGGAAATGGTGGTATTATAACATAATTGTCGCCCGCCTTGTAGAAGTACTTCAACACAACTTTCATTCTGAGCTGCTGTTATTTCTACACAAGGTGCCGGGGTGGTCAACTCATTAGCAGGAACATTCTTCTCAGTTGTGCTTGAACGAACGTCATTTCCAGTCATGGAGAACTGGGAAGTTGCCGAAGGTGCCATAGTCGTGGTAATGGTACCGGTACTGGATGTACGTGATGTAAGCATTCTGGGGGTTTGAATTGTCGTTGGATTGGTGGTTGCGGTTGTCCCCTTAGTTGTAGTTGTTCTTGTACGTGTTGTTGGTCGAGTTGTCGTGGTTGTTTTGACAGTTGTTGTCGGTAGAGTTGTCGTGATTTTTCTGGTAGTTGTTGTAGGTCGAGTTGTTGTTGTTCTGGTAGTTGTTGTTCTGGTAGTTGTTGGTCGAGTTGTCGTGGTTCTCCTGGTAGTTGTTGTTGGTCGAGTTGTCGTGGTTGTTCTGGTAGTTGTTGTTGGTCGCGTTGTCGTGGTTGTTCTAGTCGTTGTTGTTGGTCGAACTGTAGTTGTGGTCGCACGTGGTGTTGTTGTGGATGGTGGATCCGGAACTCCTCCTGTGTAGTTACATGTTGCACAGCAATCTATATCGTAGTAGATTCCATTCGATTGTTTGTAACCACATTCTCCGATCTGGCATGTTTTGTTTTTATCACCGTAAGGACAATCTGTAGCAATAGGAGGGGGGCATAAAATAATTAATAAGTTATCTACAAGAATAATCTAACTGATATTTTTTTTAGATAATAATTTTAAATTTTAAATTATTTTTTTTATTACATTACATTAAAATATAATATTTTGTTGTAAATTAAGCCAAATTTAAGAAACATCAGTTATATCAGGGCATGTTAAGATTAGGAATTAGTATGCACAGACATGGTAGAATATCAAGATGCATCACACTGTATATAAATATATTAAATAAGAACATATTTTGCAGATATAGGTATTAGAATATAGCGTTATTTAAATAAGGGATATTAATACTTCAAACAGTAGATATGAGAACACATACATGCTATAACACACTGATATGATTATTCCGCAATTATTAACTTTCTAAATAATATGTTATAGAATACGATACGGGTGCTGATTTAGCTACAATAAGTACAAACAATCATTAAATAATTCTCAATGTTTTTGCGCTAAAGAGTTCTTGAATGAAAAGATATCAAAATCATTAGATCCAGTGGTAATATAGCGTTTAAAGTTGACAGTCAAATAAATCTATAAACTGTTCCTTTGTCGCCTTCCGGTTTCGCCCAATTTCTTTAAATCAGAAACTTGAATTCCAGCACCGTTTGTGTGTGTGTGTGTGTGCGGGTGTGTGCGTGTGTGGTACGCCAATGTAACGTTCGATGTACGCATGTTGGGAACACCAATATCAGGTGTGGTATGAAAATTTGCGTAGCGATTTACCGGTGTAAAATGCGATATACCCATGTGTAAAGCGTGATATAATTATGTGTAAAGTGCGGTGTACCCCATATGTAAAGTACTAAATACTCATGCATAAAGTGTGATCCCATTTATAATTTGCGATCCATATATGTGTAAAGTACTATATATACTCATGTGTATCATGTAAAGTATGTGTAAAGGGTGGCATACCTATGTGTAAAGTATGATGTGCCAATGTGTAAAGTGCTATATACTCATGTGTAAAGTGCAATGTATCATGTTAAGTCAAATATCATGTGTAAAGCGTGATACATCCATGTGTAAAGTACGATATACCCATGTGTAAAGTGCGGTGTACCCATGTGTAAAGTACGATGTACCCACGTGTAAAGTGCTATATGTACTCATGTGTATCATGTAAAGGGTGACATACCTATATGTAAAGTACGATGTGCCAATGTGTAAAGTGCTATATACTCATGTGTAAAGTGCAATGTATCATGTTAAGTCTTATATCATGTGTAAAGTGTGATACATCCATGTGTAAATTACGATATACCCACGTGTAAAGTGCTATATACTCATGTGTAAAGTGTGATATACCCACGGAATGATTTACCCTTGAAACGTGATGTCCGTTCCGATTTACCCGAGTGTCTACCAATGGGAGCCTTCATTTACCCTCAATGGTATGACGTTCCGTATAGCTACTGAAGTTCGAAATTCCCGTTACAACAAAATAACAGCAAGCGACACGACCTCGTTTAATCAAATATCAGAGAACAATGTTTTTATGTTGATCAATGGGGTGCTATTGTGCAGATCGTTACATGTGCTTATTAGACTGAATTATTACATGTAATATGTTTAGTTTTAAAACCAATGCAAACACAATAAACATACAGTAAATATAATAATAAAGACAATTCATAAATAAGATATCATAACAAGACTAAATAATTGGTGAAATTATTGTTGATTTCGTCTGCTGCCATATTAACAAGAAGACATGCTTACCCAAACAATTTTTTTTTTCAATATATAAAACTATTTATAATAAATAACTGCTATAACGACACCGATACTAGCATAATGACAAACAACGACACAGACATATTGAACTCGGAAATTCTCTTTGATAATTTAATGGCGATTAATATTCGATAAATAAACCTTAGGGTTTAAGCAATATTGGAAATGATCTTTTTAAACTTTAATTTGTACGCGTGATATAATATATAGTTTTTTGTACCAATAGAATTTCCGATCAACACAATGACATGGAAAAACAATGCACGCGGTTTTATATACCGCTCAATATTTTCCAGCAAAAAATATATTTTTCATAAATGTGGATTTGTACCTCAAAATTGAACTTTCTGCAGACTACGAAAAACTAATGTACCCTGTGAAAATAATTGGGTACAAACATTAAAACGAATGCTGGGACAGATTATGGTGTAAGTTAGGACAGGGCAGAAAGTAGCCAGAAGGAGAAATCTAAAGCTTCCTGAAAGAAATACTATACAATGGAATTAAGAATGAAAGATCCACAGCCATTAACCTATTGAAAGAAATTCGCGGCAATATTTATTTTACAGGACATCTGTGTATTATTAGAATATTTTTCCGACTAAGATAATTGACTATTAAAAACAAAAAACATTTTATAAGTTGGTGAATGTGGATCCTTCATATCAAACATCTAAAAGGTATGGGAACTAATTACAAAGGTTTTACTATACAGGGAGAAACACATCAGGGTTAGAGACTGATTAAATCTAAATTTATCTTCTAAACTAAACAAGAATAACTTGTGTAAGTTAGGTAACTCTAAGGTGTTGTTAACTAAGACAGGTAACTCTATCAAACTGCATGTACTTACAAGAACTAACGGTTTTAATTCTCTGGCAGGATAAACAACAACTAGCCCGCACGGAAGAAAGATAACACATTTCTGGACTATGTCCTATGACCACTGCACAACTTGCTCCACCAAAGATATCATTCTTGTCGTCTGCGCAAACTGAAAGGTAAACCGATTCTTATAATCAAATAACTTTCAATGAAGTCAATGGGTTAAAAAATAAATTGTCAGTCCACGGGCTTATTCCAGTTGTTTATTTCTCAGGTTGTTTGATAGTGTGACTGGCCCACGGGTACATGAAGGGAATTCACATATCTCTTCGATGTGAGCCAAAGCAAAGGGAATTCCCCACGACGAAGTCAGTAGGAAGTATATCTAAACTTCAGACAACACAGGACCAGTGCCTGTGCACAGGACAGAACAATCTTGGCGTCCCCAGATTACATCCCTGTTGCGATGGCCTGTTTTTATAACTTTGACGCTGTACTGTTTGAGATAAGACTTGGAAATCGAAACCCGGGTGTTAATACTCGAATAATGTATCCTCATAATGGTATTGATATTGCTACTAGATTATTGTGTCCAGAAAAAAAAACCGTTTTAGAAAAATGACCGAAATGTGGTCTGAAAAAAAAAGGAAATTTCACAAGAGGCAACTTTCTTTATAAAATGGTACCAGAGGGTAGAATGTGATTTTGTGATGGTCGTTATAATGAAATATCTAATAAATATTAGAAACATGAATGACATCTTACCAGGAGCACTGGTTGTTGTAGACACTGTAGTAACTGGTACTGTTGTAGCTGATGGAACAGGTATTCTATAGTTACACGTTCCACAACATTCTTCGCTGTAATTACCACCTTTAGTAGTTCTGAGACCACAGCCATTCGATTGGCAACCGTAACCTTTATCGCCATATTCACAACCTGGACAAACAGAATATAAACTAATACAAGTGCGTTTGGATTGTTTGGAGTTTATTTTGCATAATAATTACTCCTCTATTACCAGTCTGGAGTAATAGGGAGATCAATTGAGTGATCCGTTATAAACAGAATCTTAATCTGAGATTAAGAAATATATTTATCTTTTATAACGTCAATAACCATGAGCCACGCCCAATACCAGCTTGGCGTTAAAAAACCCCAACATATTATTTCTTCCGATCCCTCTATCTGGTATTTTTATATATAAAAAATATTTTTGTCTAAGTAAAACAGGATTTTGTTATGAACATAGTATTGCTTACCGTAAACACCTATATAATGTTTTTTACAAGACGAACAGCAGCGCCCTCTCACCAGAGCTTGATAACAATAAGCTGGGTAACCATCGACGAATTGTTGACATGTTTCTCCATTAAATGCCACACCAGTTATGTCACCAAATGGACAAGATTCTAGAGAAAAACAAAAAAAAAAAAACACATGAATAATAAAAACAACACATGAATAATACTCCCTTAATAAATGAAAACGACTGGGCGCAACGGCATAATCTTACATCAAATTCCAGCTGCCAAGGATTCTCTTACGTGCACGCCAATGTGTACACAGGACCCTGGTTTTTCGTCCCATCCGAACGCCTATACGTTTTCTCTTTCAAAGCCCTTCGTCCTGCACCACCGACAAAGGGGAACCATGCCGGAAAATCCTGATGAAATTTCTGGCCAATACCGGGATCAAACACGGGACCTCCAGGTTAATGAGCCAACGTCTTACTCACTTAGCCAACGCGGCCAATATTTCCTTTATAACATTTCCTGTATAATGTTTTATAAATATCCCCACCTTCTCAAAAATCATAACCGAAAAACTATGTTTATATAAGTTTTTTTGTGACATTTAATTACAGTATTTGTTTTGGAAATGAAATGTACAAATTATTAAGTAGGCTATAAAACAAAAAATATTACCGTCTAGAGCTGGAGCTTTGAAATCGTAAACACATACTCCATCTATACACCACTAAAAAAAGAAATATTGATATTTTAATATTTTTTTCCCATATAAATTCATTTCTTCGATTACAACATTGGTGTATAATAAAAGAATATATGTGTGAACAATAATATGAATATTTTGAAAACAGCGATATAACCCGTATCCATGGGAGATAATGAAGGTTAGACAATTCTTACCTTATTGTTACCGCATGACGTTCCTCTTGGGGCAACTTGTTTAATGCACGAGCCGTCAGATTGAGGATCCAAACAAAATAACGACACACATATATCGGTTAGATTACCGAATTCTAAACCCTACAACAAAATAAAACATTAAATATGAGAGGGAATGGCTCCATGCACGAAATTAATAACATACAGTTCATCGATTTTGTGAAATTCGTCGACTGTCTTTTGATAGTTGATAACGGCACATGTTTGCTTTTTGTGGAAACGACCCAACGGGAGTTGATTGGAATATGAGTTTTATGCCAAAAATTGCTAGGCGAAAGTTCATGAAATATAGTACATGTACTTACTTTACACATTCTAGAACTGGAACCATAAATATGTTGACAAGTTTGATCAGGTGTTGATAATTGACCTGGCATAATATTGGTTACATCAGGTATCTTACTACTGGCTAGTGCTAAGCTTAAACATTGTCGTCCTCGGCTGTAAAAAAAGGAGGATAGTGACTATTAAAACTGAGGATTCTGATTGCCCCAAACTCACCCAGATCAGCTATATTATATTCAAAACGATATGCTCTTTCGTAGATTATATGCTATGAATAATCATCTCCTCTAATACTATGACAATCTCGAGTTTGTTATCTGGTAATACTGTGGATCTTCTGGTAATACACCAACAATTGAATATCACCTGGTGATGCTAGGACCAACCCACCAATTATCTCCTAGTAATGTTACGAAGAATGGGTCAATTTGTTTGGTAATGCTATAATGTTACTACAAAAGACCATTTACTGGTAATGCTGCACAGATAATACATTTTCTAGAGATGCTAAACCAAATGGGTTATCTCATGGTAATGTTTTGAATAATGATTGATCTCTTGGTAATACTACATGGACTGTTTCCCGGTATTGCTGCGAATAATGGTTCATTTCCTGGTAATACTGCAATGTTATGCTAGTATTCTGTATTGAACCTTGCTTACCTTGTTGCTGCAATAGTTTTTAACGTGTTTCTGAAATAGCTAACAGAACAGGTTGAGAATTTCCATGGGTTTGTTCGGGTAGTTGGAGTATGATCATAGGAACCGGCTGTCATGATATATCTATCCGAATCTTTACATCCACTAGTCACACCATCATGTTTGGCACCAAGACTGAAAAAAGTAACAGATAAATCACATCGTCATAATAAAGATATTGGGAATTCTTTTGGCGTTTGAAGGATAATTCTGTTCTGCAAATATCAATTCTTTAGATACTTCATATTGCAAATATTGATTCTCTAGGTACTTCATCCCGCAAATGTCAATTCGTGAGATACAGTTTAACCGGACCATTGTTAGCCCCCAATACGAATTTGTGAAAGCACCTAGCAGATATGAAAAAACTATTTGAACACTGGACACAAATTCAGTTTCAGTAAAATATTTTACCTGTGACCCAATTCGTGTGTAGCCGTTTCCACACATTGGTAACCGCCTTCATCTTCTACAACAGATGTAGCTTGTCCTGTGGTCTGACAGACTGCACCAATATATGCTAAACCTGAAGTAAAGTATATAAAAATATTATTATTCAACCAATATATTAGATTTATGCAATCAGATCGGTGAATCGTCTTAATCTCATCAATTGTTCGGTCGTTAGTATATGCGTAATCTCTATATAATGTAAATAAAACAACATTAAAGTCTCCGAGGGTGATTTGACCGATATAGAAATCTGTAATCTGTAATAGGAATATGCACCGCCATATTTATGTTTGCCGAAATCTGCCTGAATCTATAACCCGGGAGAATATTTTGATTTTGTTTTCTTAATTAAATGTTAAATAACCAGTATAAGAACACATTTGCATGGATTAAGCCGTAAAAATTGATATTTTCCGAAAAATATCGGACACGGTTGCTTTAAATTAATCAAATATATTTAATGACGTACCTGCAGTGGAGTTATATTTTATATTGTTCTGTTTTGAATATAAATCATACCTGAAATAATAGAACATGAGCTTAGCAAATATTTCACACACCTATTTGAATAGGACCAATTGTAAACAGGTATTAAACAGATTTCGCAAAACATTGTTATTCTCTTGAATAACTGATAATCGTATTACATTCCGGGTTCATAATAGCTGGCCATAAATATGTAACTATATACAGCTGATTTTCTTCCAGGTGAATTAATATGTCAGGTTGAACTCCGGGAGTTTATAATTATACAGGTTTTCTTTCTCGTGAATTATCGTGAATGTCTTTGACATAACAAAACACGGTTCTTTTTTTTAATAGGAAACTATCACAGGTTTTATTACACAAGCACGACGTTTCGACGAGTATTCCCTTGTCGTTATCAAGATTGTGTAATAAAGAATTGTATTATGTTAATGTTTTTCCAGTCGCTAAATGCCACTATAGTTGTACACCATTCCAGAATTTAAAGATAACAATGAGGTCATGGTAGGCCAGACTATGAATATTTTGAAATCGCGAAATACGCTGCATGCTTTTAAAAACATTATTGATCTGATACCTTGTAAATAACATGTTATGGTCATATTGAGGTAAACTATCTGATGAGGCAACCCAATCCCTAAAATCTTCTAAAACGGTATCTGCATCGACCTGATCACGTGGACTGTGGACTTCTCGTATGGTTTCTGTCCACCTTGCAGTATTTGACGTCTGCAACAAAAACACAATATCGATAAGTAACACACATATTTCAAATTTTAAAACTTAAAATTACATCGTACACAGAAGTTGGTATATTCTTTGAAGATTGAATGTTTTCTATAGAACTTGTGAAGTTTGCTTTACAACAAAAATGATGCACCCCTCTCAATTACATGAACTGACCTTGGATATTACGAGAGCAACAAGTCGAACAGTTATACCAAACTCAGCTACTAAATTTTTATATCGTAGGCTCATCTAGAAAATATTGAGAAAAATAAATATAATTTTACGACATAAATGATATAATTTTATTACATGAAAATAATGAAAATAATGATATAATTTTATGAAATAAATGATATAATTTTATGAAAAAAATGATATAATTTTATGAAATAAATGATATAATTTTTAAAATAAATAATATATATATAATTTTTAGAAAATGATATAATTATTAGAAAAATATGATATAATTTTTAGAAAATAATGATATAATTATTAGAAAATTATGATATAATTTTTAGAAAATTATGATATAATTTTTAGAAAATTATGATACAATTTTTAGAAAATTATGATTTAATTTTTAGAAAATTATGATATAATTTTTAGAAAATTATGATATAATTTTTAGAAAATTATGATATAATTTTTAGAAAATTATGATATAATTTTTAGAAAATTATGATATAATTTTATGAAATAAATGATATAATTTAAAGAAAATATTGATGTAACTCTATAAAAATAATGACATGAATGCTGGAATAAAATTCATATTATTTTCTTGGTGCGCCATTTTTACCAGAACCAGCATTTCCATATCTACTTGGACAGCATATGCTTAGACACCTGCCCGGGGCTCAGTGACCCTAGATTCATTTTGAAAATTAAGGTTCATATTGAGGGGTTAGGAGCCCCAGTACATTGCTTTGAATTGAATTTGAATTTATTTTGTAAAGATTGTCCGGAAGTCTAGTATAACAATGAGGTACGAGATATACACACACGATCAGAGGTACGGATATGACACTGGACATGAACAGAAAGTTTATTATGTGAAAATTAAAATCGTCACACCTATATTAATAAAATAACTTACCCCGTTAGCTATAATAGCATAATACAATCGTATCTTGTTGATAGCATCAGTTCCTTTATTTGTTGCTGTACTCTTTAAATAATAACTGGAAAAATATAATACAAATGTAAAATTTTATCCTTGGGCTACACAGTATAAAAGATAGTGACATGCTCCGTAATGGTAAAAGTCATTCATTTCTTGTTTATTATTATTCATAATTCAATTTTATATTCCAATTGTTCTGGAAGTAGATCACGTTGTTGCATAATATAATAAGGTTTTTTTTATGGATGTTTGGGTTGTAAAAAAAATATCATTATGCCTGTCGGGCTATTTTCAAATATTTAAATAATGTTTTGAAAAATGTTTAGTTCACTTATGTCACATCTAGGACATATAATACATCATGTATCTAGTCATGTTGTAAACCATTTACTGAATTTTAAAAATCAGTTCAATAAAGATGCTGTTCTAAAAAGACCGAATAAGACGTACCGGGGGCCCTTATTAAGCATGTTAATGGGTGTCCATACTTCGATTGTGACTGAGTATTCTATTTTGAGTGATAATTAATAAATTTAGTTGAATATATTTTAGTTTAATATCCTTATTGACGTTTGTATAATTTATACAGTTGGGGTTTTTTTTAGGTTTTTTTTTAAATCCTATATTCTAAATCTTTAAATCATTTTGAGTACATTAATTAAAGCATGGATTAAGCCGTGAAATATTAAATATTGACCGAAAAGGGCTAATGGCGATCATAGTTTTAAAAATATGTTATAATCTTTTCCCCGTTACATTTTAGTTGAAAGTACATACATAATTCATTTTGAAGAGAAATCAACAGATTGTTCAATAGATATCAACTTTCATAATTACAAAACTTAATGAGATTTATTACTTTTCCTCAATTATTATTTGGATGAAAATGACCAAGTAATTGATTCAAACAAATTGATTCAAACAAAAGTTATAATGTAGCCCGTTGAATAATTTCCTTTACAATTATGAATATACATTCAAAGCGTTTCTTGTCAAACAACTCGTTCCTCTTCTCCAAATACGTTCACATATAGATGTAAAACTCAAGTATGTTGAATTAGGTTTTAGTTTTTAAAGCTGACTTTGATGTGTAGAGTAGCTCTGGGTAAAGTCAATATATAGAACATGTGTTGTAGGTAAATCGTCACCTTGGACCATCACGTTTGTCGGGACTTAGATAAATACCAGCCATTATTCACAGTAATAATCAGCATTTCAAGCTCATAGAAAAATATAAGAAAGCTAGAACAATTGGAAAACTTTTTGAAGCAAATTTTAAGACATCTTAAAAGAACTTTGAATTATGCTATCATTGTTCCGTTAAAGCCACTCGTCGTCATTACTTTTCACACTAAAATGTACTTAAACTGATTATTTAAAATTTAAACATGCATTATGCAAGAGATAAATCTGCCAATTGCAGATCTTTCGTTGGGCCTGAAATATTATATAAGCTATTAATTAGACATTTATTAACATGACAAGACCATAATCAACTCTCAATGCCATCGGATATCTCCGATATTAAGTATTAGAACGGTTCAGCCATACTTTTTTATTTAATTAAAATTGGAGAAGCAAGGCCTATCTTCGAACAATCAAGCACACATCTTGTTAAGCCTTCAATGGCTAATATCTTCACTCGCAATACAGTAATTTGAATGAAATTTTCAACATATTCCTGTTTCATTATCTATTGTATTTTCGAACTATTATAGCAAGAAAGGCTAGCTCTTGATCTAAATCTTACATAATGTATCTTTAATTAAGACAGCATAAACAACACGCCAACGGTAAAAATCTCGTGACATGGATTCTTTTAAATTGTTTCAATGGCATTTAGTAACTGAACTGGAATATACAGGTGACAATTCTATGGAATACAATTACTGCTTATTACTGAGTGGCGTTTCGATAATGACTATAGACGCCTATAGCCGAAACGTCGCTCAGTAATAAGCAGTATATTCCATAGAATTATGACATGGATTCAATTAGATTAACACTGGGCCCATCATAATACTTTACCTAACCCTTATAGGTGGCGCTTTCTTGTTTATATCGTCTGCGGAATGTTCCGAAATTTGCATTTAACCCGCATGATGATTAATGATTATCTTCAATTTATTAGTTAAAACAATTTCTTATTGTTTTAATTAAAATAACAAAAAGACTTGAGTAGAGAAACTGTCACAGTTCTACAAATAAATGTCAAATTTGAACAAATAACAGTCCCACGTAAATGCTACACTCTTGAACTATTTAATACAAAGTAAATAATTGAAAAGTTGTTAAGTGAGGTGAATCACGTACAGAACAGTCTACAGTACATAGAAATAAACTAATGTATGGCAACATTTGTTAGTCGAATTTACGGGAAACGATTTTTGTTTGGAATAAGTATCATCTATATGATAAATAAAAATAAAATAAATTGATGGGTGTTTCTATTATTACAGTCACGTCATGCTTTACACTGCACTCTCCTTATTTCCAGATAGTTTTTCAGACGACGGAATCTCGACAACTTATCCAACTTAACAGCCCAAATTTTCGCAGTTTGTCATTTGCATTCTTCAGTAGGGTAGTCATGTTTCAGATTGGGGAGATTGTAATATAATAGAACTTACTATCTATATATTGAATAATCTATGGTCATAATAATATCAACATAATATTCCTTTAACTGTCGTTTAACACGTGAAGGTGCTATTACAACTGTTTCTTCACGTTTTGTCTCTGTTGAATATATTCCTGAAATTAGAAAATTACCATTTAACGTTGCCCCCAATTTAAATAAAAAAAACACCCCACAAAAAAAATATACAACATAGATGGGTTTCTATCTGAAATAACAATATTAAAGATCTCGCTCCCTAACCTTAAAAAATCTCGCTGACGGCGCCCATTGGGTCATTTTCGGAATCAATTTAACTTGTCAACAACAGTTTCAACTGTAAACATTGGGATTAAATCAACATCTCACCTTCTTTATAATCATGATTTTGGGGAGGTAATTCTGGTTGCTCATTTAAAATATATTCTTCTCCTTCATTTTCATCTACGTCGCGTCGGAATCGATGAGATTTTCTTAACGTATATTCTTTGCCATTATACCTTATAGATCCCTCCTTGAATAGAGACAGAAATATATGATATTAGTCAATAAGTTATTAGACCCCTCCAAGAAAAGAGACAGAAATGGATGATATAAGTCAATAAGTTATAGCCCCCCCCCCCTTTCAATACGGAAAGTAATATTTAATAAGTTAATTAGAACCCTCCTTGGATAGAGACAGAAATAATTGATAATACTTATTAAAATAAGTTATTGCCCCTCCTTGAATAGAATTGAATATATCGAATTCCAACTGCCAAGGGATCTTTTACGTGCACGCCAATGTGCGCACATGACCCCTGTTTTTCGTCCCATCCGAACGACTAGACACCTGTGCTTGTTAGGCCCTCCGTCTTACGCCGGTGACAAGGGGAAACCACACCGGAAAATACCGATGAACTTTCTCGGCCAACACTGGGATCGAACCCGCGATCACCAGACCAGAAGATTTTGTACACCAGAAAATGCTAAAGATACTACCTTCGGGCAAATACAGTTCACAATTTTAGTGTGGACTACTGATTAAAATTAAAAATTAAAAAACTATTTTGCTTCGGATTCCATTTTTAGAAAAAAAAATATATAATATATATAAAGAGAATAACATAAACTAACCAACTCTAAAGCTGTTTTTGCATCTTCTAGTTTTGAACACTTTATAAGAACTGCTATTAAAGAAGTTACATCTTGATATGCTACATTTTCCTGAAATAAAATAAATTAAATCAGAATTACATCAAAATGTGATGGATAGTGTTTTTGTTTCATTACCATTTTAAAAACATTTTTGCGATTGGCTTTCAAGTTGTTGTTTTTTTATATATATATATAAACAGTAATTGGCTTTTGTGGTTTTATTTTTGATATCTGGAGGTTATACATATGAAAACCTAAACTCATTAGACTTCCTCTTTCTGGAGTACTACTCTTTATGTCGATTCGACAGACCTCGGTGGTACTATTACACACACTGATTTTTCATTTTTTCCGCCTTGACAGTGGTGCAGGGAATAGGGTCTGACAAGTAAAATCTTCTAGTCGTTCGGCTAGGACGAAAAATCAGGGCTCACCGGTGTACTCATAGAGTCATGCAAAGGAGTAGGAGGTTAAACCCCAGTTTTTTTTTGGTATTTATTGACTTATGAATGCTGATTGCCTTTTTGGATCTCGTGGAGTAGCAAGAGGAGACATAGTAGATACTTACGTCTAACAATTGGGACTCTTCTGGTACGATCACGGAATTGCCATTTTCTGTAGGATTAATTGTATATACACGGACTTTAGGTGATACGTCATAGTTTCTCTGTAAGTCTGATGTTATATTTACATGTGCTATAGTGATCTGTATTGGTAGAACGTCGGGTAAAGAACAGCCAATGAAATTATGCAGAATTCGTACATGGGCAGTTTCTGAAAAATTCAAAATTATATATTAAATCATCTACGGGGGAGTTTCTCTTTGATTGACAACATGAAACACGGGTTTAAATATATAAATTTTATCTATTGGGAAAATTGATCACCAATTGTGCACAAAAGTTAATTGTACGCGTTACTAACAACAGCAACCAGCTGGAAGCTCATCTAGCAATAATAACCAACTGTATGCCATCTTGCAACAACAACCAACTGTACACCATCTTGCAACAACAACCAACTGTAAGCCATCTTGCAACAACAACCAACTGTACGCCATCTTGCAACAACAACCAACTGTAGGCTCATCTAGCATCAACAAGCAAATGTACGCTCATCTATCAAACAACTGTACGCTCATCTTGTATCAACAAGCAGATGCTGGTTCATCTGGAAACGTCAATGAACTGTTGGGCCATCTAGCAACAACAACTTAAGGGCAACAAGATACAACCGTTGGTTCATCTAGCACTAGCAGCATATCTTGGTTTATCTATCAACAACAATTAGTTGTTGATGGGCACAGCACAACTGTTGGTTCAGATGGTATAAAAATTATCACATTTGCAATTTCATCTGTGGTATAACTAATTGTGGAAAGCGGAGGTTGGTGATGACAAAAATAAAGTCCTGGGTTACAAAGTTTAATTATTCTGCAAACTTTAATAATATATAATTAAGAGTCTGAGGCGTGACTTTGATTGACTACGTGTTTATCATACCAACAACTTGTAGAGCATTAGTAATTTCAATAAATATCACATTCTGTTGTTCAAAATAAATAAAACTTAACCCCTTTCTATTGACTGAAAACCTACAAGCATTTAACATATTCTATTAATGTCAAGCCATAAGTCGGGGCCTTATATAAAATGTTAAACTAACAAACACAGAATTCAATGGCTTTAATTATGTTGATCATTCAACAGGAAAGTTAATTTACAAGTCAAATACTAACGAAGAAATTAGCTCCGTGTCGAGTTTTCTCATTCGTTTATTTATCATGAAATAATTGTCTAATTGCTGTCTATATGATACATGTATTATTTACGTTTTCTGTTCCCTTATTCAGATTTGATTCCAAACACGTTTTGAATACCAAAGAATGAATATATACCAAAGCGTCTGTTTAAGGAAATTTCTAATTTGTTTAACTGAAGAACCCTTTTTACATAAAAACTTCTGAGTGATATTGTTTCAGAAAGAAAACTTGAATTATTAACATTATTATACTTAATCTGAAATTGTGTTGCATAGTTGACTTTTCTTTTTACTAAGTCTGCTTCACCTTATCGTATCACGAGGACTGAATTAATTTTAATGGGTAGACATTATAGAGATTTCTAAGTGACGCATATATTAATATTCTATCAGTAATGAAAAGAAATCAATGTATTTTCTACAGACATGACATAATTCTTAATAGTGTTGGTTATATAATAACCCAAAATAAGTTAGCTTAAAAGGAAAGATTCAAAAGTGATTTTGCATTGGATTTTTCCTTCTTTTTTATCTTTTATTTTTTTTTTTTTTAAATTCTGAACATAATTTATTCTGTATACGAACGTATCTCCAACCGAACACAATTTAAAATGCATAAACTGAAATATAATATCCAAATACTTAGAAAGTTTTTATCTTAAATAGAGTGTAGAGTTTAGAAAAAAACAATAAAGCTGTAATAACCGGTTCATATTTCTCAGAAGATGAATGTTCGTTTATGTGGGGGTTTTTTGGGTTTTTTTTTTAAGATTGACTAGTGAATGGTTAGTGTTACGTCTAAATATTAAGGTAACCTCCAGATTGCGTCAAGGTCACGAGATGTAAACAGGGCCAGTGCTAACCCTAACTCTAACCCTCGCCTTACCTAACACCCACAATCTTCGGCAACAATCCTCGTCCTGTTTACATCTCGTGACCTTGACGAAATCTGCAAGTTGCCTTAATAGTTAGATCTGACCAGTGATTAGGGGTAAGGGGGTGAATACTGCGTGCATCGTAGATCAATAGATCATGTGCTTGTACGAAGGACCACCTGCCCAGTCGGGTATTATTGAGCTTGCCACAGTATTAACAGGTGAGTCGTGTAGCAAGTGTTACAAGGTGTTCCAGAAAGAATAACCATACCCTATCGCATACGCATCATCCTACATAATATTCTAAGAAATTTAAAATACCTTATATGGAAGAATATGTTTCGGGCAACCGAGTGGAACTTGATCTTTAAACAACATTTTTCTATGGGAACGTTTAATAAAGGGTTGCTGTTCTAGAGTGAGATAATAATCTTTAAATGAAGTTTGACTCATCCTAAAAGGATATAGTCATCCACTATTCATAATAGAACTATATTTTTTTTATCTTAACAGTAACAGGATCTGGGATGTTACTCTTGGTTTAAAAAGGGGGTTTATTTGAACAAGAAATGGGTTAATGTTTTCTCTAGAAATGATAATCTTTGAATCATGTTCGATGGTATCACATGTGAGTTTTATGTACATTAGACGAAGACATGTTTCATCCCCTTTAATATATTTACTAATTATAGATGGGTCTATGCATACAAAAGTAAATCCATTATAGTGATGCGAACTACCAAGATAACTGGAAAGTCTTTCCACATGTTATAGAGCGAGTAAGCACATCCTGTCACGTGCACGCCATCCGCTCAAACAATATAGCTAAATAAGCCATCGGTTAAAAGAAAATAAGCTCCGTAAATTGGTATATGGACAGTGGATGGTTGGGAGGGGGGGGGCGTATAAATGCTTAATACAGCTTATTTTAAAAGATTTTTATTTACAATTATGGTGTGCAGACGTTCAGTTACTCAGTGTAGGCTATACAAATACAATATCGAATAACTTAATACAAACTTGTATGCACAATAAACGGGCGTGATATATTCCATAGGTTTTATATTGAATGGCTATTTGCATTAAATATATATAATCTAGATATAATCGTTACAGCTGAATGGGGGCATATTGCATAATTCAAGTGCTATTCATCAACAATGTTACTTGGTTATTTTACAATAATCGAATTTATATACTAAGAGTCTTTCACCCAGATTAAACATTAAACCATAACTACAGGACAATTTCTTTAAAATAATTCATAATGGTTGTTCAAATGTTTTAGGATTATTTATGGTTAGCCTTACTTGCGTCTTCAATATCTCAGTTTCTGCCGAAAAATAGGACTTTTAACTCCCATTTCATTCATTCGTTAGTCTTATTTTATTTCGTATCAATATATAAATTACTTAAAATCAGTTGGAATTGACACTTGGAATTCAATTGCTGCCCTGGTAAAATTTCCCACATAGCACCATATTATGGTGTATGCTCGTGTCCATTAGCACGGTTGCCGGTTGGTACAGTGCAGAAAAGTAGAATTTTCTCGAATTTTAAAACGATGATATTGTTTATACAAGGCACGCCCAGCGAGATTGTATTCATGGCGAGAAAATTGCGTGTTCGGTTTTTTTTTTTTTTTTTTTTTTTTTTTTTTTTTTAATCGGGATATCTCAGTTTCTCAGTAAATATTTTATTTTTACTAAGGTGGAAGAATACTCGCACACAAGCCTTAGTGTTTGGCACATCACGTGAATGGTAACGTAACGCTGAAATCCTTTCAAAATCATACAAAGAAAAGATGGGGTGATTATATAAATGAAATGGTGGTTACTGTACTACTTTTCTGTAGCAAGATTCCCCGCTTGTACGTGACAAGGAGTAGGGTCGCCTGTCCAACCTGGTGTTTTTTTTACGGTTCCTCCGGTTTCCTCCCACTGCTAAAGATCTCTACACGCAAGCGAATTATTGAAATAAAATTGAACCATATGTTAGTCCCGAAATGACCTAGTTTATGTCGAGTGGATGTTAAACCCCATTTCTCTCTCTCTCTTCTGTAGCAATCGAGCTAATAAAGACGAGCTCACTCAATTCAGTGTGATTCATCGAATCCCCTCTGCCAAGGGTTTATGTTTACGTGTATGCTACAATGTTCACGCGGATACGGATTGATTTCGGGTTTTTTTTCGTCCCATCCAAATGTATAGACACTTTTTGCTATGTCGTTTATCCAACACCATTGACAATGGCAAGCAGTGCGGAAGTTTCTCTGGCTAAAACTGGGATCAAACACGAGACGTTTGGTAGTGAGCCAGTGCGATACTCATTGAGGCACTGGATGATTGTGTTTTTATCCAATAACAATCGTTTTAATAAGTTCCACGGGATTTTCTGGCGTTGTTTCACTTGGCAAGGAACAGCGTCTAGTCGTGCAAATGGGACGCCCCCCCCCCCCCAAAAAAAAAACGACAAAAAACAAAACAAATCAAGATCCCATGTCAAAATTGACGTGCGTGTACAAGAATCCTTGACATTTGGAATTCGAAATAATTACCGTCAGAACACATTGCATGGCGTTTGTCAGTCTACATTAGCCCACAAGGCGCAGAAAAGTTGACGTTAAACTCCATTTCATTTTTTAATAAGTATACTTGTTGTAGGTATATGACACGACTTTAACAAACATGTTCAAGTATCCGTAACAAAGACCGCTGATAATAGGAGACATCAAATTAGGATACTATAATTAAGGAGGTTCTAGTGTAATTGTTCTCTGATGTGTGTAAACATGATATAAGTATTCAAATATACATAAGATGCACTACTATAGAAGAGTCGAACAAAAATCAACAAACCAAGCCTTGATACAATAGAATACAGACTTAACTACGAGGCGAGGACAGTATCTCAATCTAAAATATTTAACATATATTTGCAATACAAAGCATAACATGCAGAACACATACATGTTTTATAGACACAAAAACACAAGTAAAAGATTAGCATATATTGTAAAACTGCATAATTATGTCGAGACTCAATGTTCTTAAAACAATTTAAACAAATCTTAGTCAACTCGTTAACCTCCCTACAACTAATCTTTACCTATATACTACTAATTAAAACTCATGGTGA